TGGACTTTGTGCGCATATAAAACACTGTACTTCCTACCTATCGGCAACGAAGATTATACAGTAATATGGAAAGCGAGATTTTGTGGCCAAAATCAATTTTTCAAGTTCGGTATTTGAAAATGTGTCAGAATATCCAGGGATCGTATGCAGCAGTCTCGAAACGATTTCACGCCCCGAAACATATATGTACCAGTTAAAAAAGATATAAACGTGCTTCGAATTTTTGCCACAAAATGTTGCTTTTCCCGACCACTGTGCACTATGTGGTGACCCAAATGTCGCGCAGTCCCCTCGTTAGACGTTAATTGCGAATCTAGGGACTTTCTCTTCGAGTCATCGTTGCAACGTCGAACGCGACGAAGTTTCTTTTCCACGGTTACGAGGCGAGAGCGTGAACCGACAAAAAATGACGTCAGCTTCCTCGAATCGAAGAACCCGCGCGCTTCGCGATGCATTCTGAGCGTAGTCGCGACCCGGCTGCATGTTATATAGTCTAGCGAGCTTCGATCACACTTGTTGAGGGGAAGCCCTCGACCAGCACTACCTCCACCTCCTCTTCGCGTCATATTCAATCTCTCCCTCTTTCTCTCTCTCTTCGAGTCTTCCCTTTCTCACTCTCTCCACTATTCTCTTTCCCCCTCCCCTCTTTACCGCGTGCACCTTCTTCCCACCTTCGGTTCATGATCTATCCCCCACCCCTCGACCAGTGCCTCTGCAAGTGACCCTGACCTTGCGTCAACTTCCGTATTGTCTCCGTGCACGGATTTTGGCGGAATTCCTTCGTTTTCGAAAAAAATTACTAAATCCTACCGGGTTCCCCTTGACCATCGCGACGCGCAGGTGCGGTCGATCGAATCGCAGCTAGAATCGTGGCCTGGTTCGGGGATTTATAGTCTTCGACCGATGACACTCGAGACCGGGAAGTCTGCCCGTGGAATTTGTAAATTTATCGTGCTCGAACTTCCTTGGGATCTCCTTAACTCTTTGGGGTACGCTGAGGTTAAAAGTGACCCACCTTTTTGATGCACCGTAATGCACGGTGAGACATAGGTTTATATTTCGTCTTATTTACGCCAAGCAGTTGGTAATATCTTCAACAAATGTTGCAAATGTATTCACTTGCGTTGGCAACATTCAACATGCCAAGCGACAAATTTAATTAAACCATTACTATATTTTTATGTTTTTACATTACGCGATACCTTTATTAATAAAAATATACCAAGTTTGTTTAATTTAAAACGCAATAAAATTTTTATGCAACACGGGTCTATTTAATTATATGAAATCCTGTGTTGCGAAGAGTTAACTTGCACGCTGTAAAAGTTCAAATTACTTTGAAAAAGTAGCCTAGCCTAAATTTGCCAAGCTATCCAACAAAATAATTACCGCCCACTGATTCTTGGATTTCTCTTTGCGCTGACACCAATTGCGCGATTATAAGAAAGTACTGTCGAGGATCCAATATGTAAATACCATACAACAAGTTTGTAGCAATGAAAAGTTTATCCGATGGTTGAATAAAAACGAGGGTAAAAATCTAGTGAAACTTTGAAAGGAGAAATTTATAATTTGTTATAAAAATTTTATGGTTTTTGAACTCGATTGAAAATTCATGGTAACCCCACATTGGGAATCACTGGTATGGATTATGCACGTCTCTCAAGGGGTTATACCCTTGGCGATAACTTCGATGAGGGACTGTGAGGTTACTTGCCTCTGTACGCCTGCACTTTTTCATCCACGCTCGTTGCGAACTGAAAGAAGAGATTTGAAACATAAAGTAAGAAGAAGCTCAGACACTTCTTCATTGTCTGGAATACGTTCTATAGCCTGGGCTTTCTAACCAAGTATCGACTATTGAAGTATTTTTAACAAAGAATAGAAAACTAAAAATCAATACTGTGTGCTGGCGTTTGAGTTAGTTAACTGTTTTAAAAATTGTAAACATTTACGGTAACTAGTATTTATAACAAAATAAAAGAAGCATACGACTTGCAAGAGTGCATGTATTCGTTATTAAATTCGATTATTTATAAACTGAAGCACAGGAACGATTTTTACGTATCGATTCTCGAACTCCAGAGAGAAAATAATTTTAAAGAATTCAAATGAAGGGGCACGTATTGACGGTGGGTATACGTAAAAGCTGGCACGAGATGAGACGAGAAAGAAGAGGTGAAAAGCTTCGTCATACCACAGTGCTACCACGAGAAGCCCATACGACGTTTATGTACACACACGTTAGGGTATATACATGTACTGTCGAATCGTCGTTGGCCTTAAGAAAACGTAGACCAGTGGTTCTTCTGTTGGAGAAATAATTACCACGCAAGCTGTATTCGCTGCAAGCCAAGTATTCAAATGCTTCTTCGTAGGATTAACTTTACCTGCTTTATCTCATTAATAATTTATTGTTTTAGAAAAATGTAGCCTTCAACAGGTCAATTCGATGTTTTACCATTCTCGAACCTTTCCTTTTAGATCCCCTTTACAAATATACAGGGTGTTCAGCCATCTCTGGGAAAAATTTTAATGGGAGATTCTAGAGGAGAAAATAAAACGAAAACCAAGAATACCAATTTTTTGACGGAGGCTTCGTTAAAACGTCATTAACGTTTAAAGTTCCGCCTCTAGAACGACAATCTGCGAACAGCTGCGTACGCGCGATAGTGGTTCTCACTCAGAAAACTGTAAGGCTGTCGATACGTCAGTAAGTAGAGTTTCTCATGCTGAGTGAGAACCACTATCGCGTGCAAGCAGCTGTTCGCAGATTGCCGTTCTACAGGCGGAACTTTAAACATTAATAACTTTTTAACGAAGCTTCAATCAAGAAATTGATATTCTTGATTGACGTCTCATTTTGGCCTCTAGAATCTCCCATTAAAATTTTTCCCAGAGTTGGCCGAACTAGTATTTAACATACTAATCATTTGACATGCTAAATAACTTTTTAGATCTTGGATTTTATGTTTCTTATTTATGAAAATGACCCTGAAGATAGGGTCAAAAGCGTTAAATAAATTTTATTCGGTATCCAAATACTTCGGACCAAGATTATTAATGTTTCAACCACTTCAATGTATCACTTATTGTTCTGAAGCTGTAAAACAAGCGACAAACGCGAATTCGGCACTTAAATGTATCGAATAGCATAATTTTTTATTTCCATTTTTCTTTACAAAATTAGTCAAACGTAATGGGGTATTTATTTACCAGGAAAAAGATTGCTGGTTTGATTTTAACGAATACGTTCCTTCCGCGATTGTAAAAGAAAAAAGCTTGTTGGCGAAAAGAAGCCATATCCTTGGTTTTTCTCAACAGAGAACACTTTCATGGGCGGTAACAATGTACACCGTTCGAACATAAAAGTCACGTTCCTAATAAAAAATTTTTAAACGGAAGACTGACTACAACCGCCTTGACTTTACATGCGAAAAATATAACGTAGATATGTTTCGTATACAATGTAAAATAACTAACGAGTGACGTAAACTGCTAGTAGTAAATCTGAATCCAACTTAATGCACGCTTCAATGCTCAGCTGCTAATGCTTATGAAATATTAACAATTCAAATTCCGTGTACAATACCTACAATTGTATACCTCTCCTACAGAAGAATTTCAAAAAGTATCGGATATTAAAAAATATTATGCTTTTGTTCCTTTACGAAATTTAATCAAAATTCTCTAACCAATATTTTTTCGTTGCATTATATTCCATGAATTTAATTTCCATTTGACAAATATTACCTATCAATACGTTGCTTTTATCACGAAATATTCGAATTTACAGTGGAAATTACAATTATAATTGTTTAACGATACAAGTACAGAGCCAAGAATTTTGCATTTCAATAATCCAAGTCACCTTGTTACTCATCGAGATTGATACAAAAGAAACCTCAATACGCTACGAAATGAGGATCGCTAAGTGAAACAAGTCACCGATTAATTATTTTGTCGAAGATCCTGAATCACTGATCGATTTCGCGAGACGAAATTTAAAGAAGAATTAGATAAAAGAAACATATTTTTTGGTCTTAATATAAAACAATCATTATCAGGAACGGTACCTTGCGCTTGTGGCCTGATGAGAATACTTTTCCCGAAATTTAAACGAGTTCAAGAATTAAATTTCAAAAATTCGAAGGGGGGGGATTAGAAATAACAGAAACAAGCGAGCATGATTCTCAAAGTTTCTGCAGAATTCATCGACCGTGATACGTTCGCGTGCGTATCGATTCACGCACACGAGTAATAATACGCGTGAAAATTACTGTTTATAAATTCAACGCAGAATAACCGTGCCGCGGGTACGTTGTGTAATGCTGTTGGCAAAATAGAACGATAGTTTTTTCCATTTTTTTCCTCCACTCTCGTATGAAAGATGATTCCAACGTCGGAGATAACGCTCGTCCGATCGATTCTTAAACCGTGCTTTGTGAATGTGATCGAAGAGCAACTCGACCGTCTCATGAAACAATCGTTTCCCGCGTTTCCGTATAGTTCGTCGCATTCCTCGATCGTTAATCATGCACGATGGGAGGTTAAACGGGGCACGATGACATACAGTGTCCCGTAATTGACGACTTATCCAACGAAATGATTATGTATCGAAAAAAGGATAAATAATAAACGTAGAATAAAATTTGTAAATATTCATAACATTAACTTGGTTGAACTTGGTTGAAATTTATATTTTTCAAGCGTTCATATAATATAACAAATGCGAAAGTATATACAGTCAGTTTTATTTTGTAATACGAACTTATCGTACTGTAACGTGTAAAATGAACGCGAAAGCATAAACAATGGATGCGAAAGTAGTGAAGCTGCATCCATATGTTGCATTAGCGATGCACGGAGTCACATTAGACGAACGACACTGTACTTCCTAATTTTTCACTCATTATATTTGGTCGCTGATTACACTTAATGTGTGCATCGCGAATGACGCGTGAAAAGAACGTTGATAAAATTTGAAAAAATCGACTCACCTTGATCCATCCTCCGTGGGCAGTGACGACGACGTATAGCAAGTACAGATCTACATCTTTTCCATTAATTTTCGGGCATTTCTTGAACGAAGTTCTGAAAATGAAAAGACACGATGTGTAAGATCTGCGTAACATAAGAAATATAATAAAATAAAAACCACGTTATCGATAGAATCATAATTATTTAAAATGTAAATGGTAAATTTGATTTATGGCTCGTTCAAATAAACGATATTATTAATGAGTGTATAAAATTCAAATACAATATTGAAAAATGTACGTTTTGATTTCGTATATGGTGCAGGAATACATTTATTAAACATTAAATATTCGATAACGATAAAAGAATTGATAAATATTAAAGTGTCGAATAAATTAGTGGGAAAAAACACCTTAAAACGAACATAATAGAATGATGTATTAATTTCTTATATTAACTAGCACGCGCGCATGTATTTATTAAATTAGAATATCATACTACGATGTTTTGTGTTCGATGAATTTCAAAAAATATAAAGAAATTAATATTTCATAGTTCAATTACTGCGTATTAAATATTTACTAACTTTAAAAGCTTTATAAAGAAGGATAATATGGAATAATTAACAATTTATTTTGAAAAGATATAAAGAAATTTATTTTCCCAACGTTTGGAACGAACATGCTACTTCATTTATGCGACGGATTCTCGCTTAGGTTAAGATCGCTCGATGCAATTGAGAATACTTTATTTTGATTTCCGAATCCAGTAAAATACGCGAATAATGACGTAATAAAGGGCCAGCGTTTTCGTTTGAATCGTGCATCAAAATTTGATCACTGATCCAAGAGACAAAGAGATAGAGAGAGAAAGAGCATTACGTTTACAATGAACGTAACAAGCTTGGAGACGTACAAATCGCCAAACAGAAAAAATCATCAACTTATCGTAATATCATTACATTCAGTTCAACGTATAACCTCAATCGCAATAAGATACGCGTCCGATCGGCGTCGACAAAGAGAATACGGAACACGCGTAAACAAATAGTTCGTAACACAAAGGCAAGAATCTCCGGAAAACTTTAAACCAAAACGTACATAACCTCAATTTTGTTCGCATTCTAGACAGAAATGCCACCGATTCGATTTACTTTCGATCCGTACAACGAGAATACGATCGACGGGAATGCATTCGAACCGACAGAACGTCGAAAAATTGTTCAACACGGAAAGTTATGAATAAATTATTCTCGGTTAAATTGAGAGAAGAAACGAATATAGAAAGCTTGTTAGGAAAAATCGACTTACCCTCTGGTCTCATGAAAGTGACGGAGGTCCTTCAGGAAGTTTTCCCTCTCCCTCTCGTAGGTGACAGGGTCCTTGTTGAGGATCTTGGCCATATTCGCGAGCGATAGAGTGCGTGGGCGTGCTAATCGGGGTGTGCTCTGGGTTTACAGGGCACGTAGGGGCAGCAGGCAGAAAAATAGGCGCAGCAGCACATGGGTGCTCATGGGAACACATTTACGCCAGGAGCGTCCTGGTGCCACGAGACAGAAGGATGAGGAGGTGGATAACAGAGGACGAGGACGAGGACGACCACGGGTCGACACGGGGTCGCGACCCGCTCCCGACATTGGGTCGTCTTGTCCTGGCCCGAAGTGTCGGCCGGTGGCCTCTCTGTCGCGCGCGCGAAACGAGACGGCGGCTTGGTTTTCCCTGTCTGGCTGGCGTACACACACCGCCACCCCGGGAGGATCGGCGCACCAATATACACGAGCCTGCTACCGTGCGTGTCCCTCGGCACTGGGAACTCGCCACGCGTGGGGAAAAATCCGAATCCTCCTTCGTGTACACGTAGTAGGTTCCACACACAGTAGTCACTACCGATCGACCGCGAGAGAGCGAACCGCGTTACGGGCACACGGGGGCCGCAACGCGACTTTCCTCGCGGGCCCGCGATCGATTCACCTGTCACTTGTCAACGAAACGCTCGCTCGGGATACGTTGCGCCACGCACACGTATTACCAACAATACCCGTGAACCGGACCGTACCAACGAATTCGACCACGCGGACCGGACGCGGCTGCAGACCGACTTCTCGAGAGCGCGTTTCCCTTAGAGCGAACGCTTGACGTGCGCCCGTATATCAAAATGGCGTCTCCTCCTGCCTGGCATCCATTGGCGAAGCCACGGCCAATTTCCCGTGTACGCTACGATAGCTACGAGCAGCGCCGACCCTACACACCGCGACACCGTTTCCGCTGCACACAACCTCGTACCGCGCGCGGCACACCCTACACGCACACTCTACGTCATTTTACGTGCGACACCGCGTTGCCCCGACTACACCACGGTCTGGCCCTCGGCTTTTTTACCCTCGCCGAACCGTACAAACAAAATCCCGGGTCGCGCAGTATTTTTACTTTCGAAATGGTTGTGGACCCCCCTCGCCAGTGGCGCACCGTTTGTTTGAATTGATCGTACGCTTCGCCGATAGAGGCGCGACCTGCTCTGGAATACTCTCCCGACATCTATTGGCGCCAACCACGCATTACACGTACTTCCAAGGAATACGTTTTCGCCTAATGCGCATGCCCTGCTTTCAGGGCATGTTTACAACGCAAAACGAATACGTATTAAAGATGGCGTACAAAATCACTAACCGTTATTTATCACAGTAATGGTAAAATCATGACCATGATCATAATACTTTTCTTCTGATTCACATTGTGTTTGAGTGAATTTGTTCATTGAGGTCAAATTTTTTGGTCTTGATTAAATTATTTTTCAATTTAAATTACGCTACATTTTCTTGATTTAACGTTAATAATAAAAAATAATTTAATTCTCTTTCCGCTATCTTCTACCAGTATTTATTTAAATAGTCTAAAAGTGTGTAGACTTCACCCACCACTCCACTAGTAATCAACTAAACCAATCGTGACGCATTTCTTCAGTAGAGTTCATTAGAATTCGAATACGCATATCTTTTCGTTAAATCCGAGTTTGAATTTCATTTAATAATAAACTCAAAGAATTGTTCGGCATTCTGAACATGATGAAGTATATACTTTGTACAACCTTCTAATTCTAGCTATCAGAATATCACCATACTATTTATCCATTTCCTAACCCCTATTCGCTTTGTTTTGTCCAGTTCTTCAATTTCCTTGAGCAAAATCAGAATAATATCTTTGATAGCACTGTATAGAGCCGCACGTTAGCGTTATTTCTCCGTCTCTCGTTAGTTTAAAAGTTTCCTTTCTTTGATCAGAACGGCAATCGTCACAACGAACCAATGAGAGTTGGATCACGCGAGAATTTGTTTCTTTACATCCACTCTATGTTTTATTCAGAACATTGTTTGTAAAATATTTTAAATAGGCGGTTAAAAAACAACATAAACATCTCCTGACAATAAGAACACGGAAACTAAGACCTCATTTTTTGACGATCGTGAACTGATTGTGTTGTATGATCAATAACAAAGCCAAGAAATCATAAACACTCATTACCATACCACACTTATGAATTTTTAATATTTTTCCACATGCTAATATACGTACATGTACGAATAAACATATAAATGATGGAAAATGCATAAATGCAATGAATATAATTTATCTATAGCCTCTCCTATTTACTGATTCTTATAAACTCTTTAAAAATAGCCAATGAATAAATTTGAATAGCATAGTTTTATCTTTTAAATATAAATTTGTGTTTGTTAATTACCTTTTTAATTATATATTTTATCAACGCGTTAAAAATGAATGTATCACATTCAAGAGGATAACTTTTCTTGTTTGATTGGACTGTCCTTGAATCGCGAGGGAAATCGTTATGTGGTTCGGTTTAATTTCTTCGAATTAATTATTGTCTTGTTGAAAATGGTGTACAAACGTAAAAAATATCACAGAGGAGACACTCATTTAAAAAAGGGTTGGAGAACAAAAAGAAGAAAGAAAGATTTGGATGAGGTAAAGATATTCAATGTAACCTCTATTTGTAGCATGCGTGTCATGTGGCATGCTTTTTACGATCGGCAATTATTATTATATGATATTTTTTATTTTAGATTGATGAGGATTTGAAAGATGAGAACGTGAAAAATTTGTTAAATCAAGAAGTAGATTTGGATAAACCGGGAGCAGCTCAATATTATTGTATACATTGCGCGTAAGTATTCACTCTATTCCTGTTTAATATGCTTCTGCGAATGATTTAATCTGTAAATATTTTTCACAAGTATACAGTATATCTGTTTAATTATAATTTGGTTCATAACAAATATTGTTTATCTGAAAAAAATGTCGCACGTTTTATATGTTTTCTTAACCTCAAATGTTTAATGGAAGTAATGTTTTATATTTAAAACCATAGAATGTAAAAAATTGTTTAATAATATATGTAAAATTCGAATGGGTGACTATAGTCACCATTATTATGGAAAGGATTAATAAGTTTAATGTTTCATTGTTTATATTTTACAATGTGAGCAGCCAAACGAAGTAAAGAATTGATGCTTTTTTTACAGGAGATATTTTATAAATAATACAGCTTTACAAGATCATGTGTCAACAAAAGTACATAAACGTAGATTGAAAGCTCTTGAACTGGAACCATATAGTATAGAGGAATCTGAAAGAGCTTCTGGAAAGGGAAGTTACGTTGCTCCAGAAAAACGTAAAATTGAGACCATAACTCGTGATAATTTTAAAATGGATATTGAATCAGAATTTCAGCCACGAACTAAAACGGCTAAAGTTAATGCATAGGATGAATTTATAGATGAAACAAAATTTTTCATCGATTCAATTAATTATCCATATATTATAACAGAGATTAAAACATTTTTTTTGTGACTATTTTATTATAAATTTACAATGGTAAATTATTTACGATACTTCCTTTCACGTATCGTGCACAATGGTTTAAAGTATGGCACTTTAAAATATGCTAGCGTGCCATTGAGTTTTGATAGAAAATACAGTTCTGCATTATTTATTTCTGGCAGAAAAGGCACAGAATGTTTTTCATTTTTAACACCATATTTGGATTTTGACAATAAATTGACAGACATTGACAAGTTACAAAAAGATTTAACTTCTCGAGGACTAAACGTGAATGCCGAGGATGTTAAGAGAATGTGGGAATTCTACAAATTATTAAACGCTGATAAATCTAGATTAGAGTCAAAATCTTTAGAGTTAATAAAACAAATGAAATCATTATCCGGGAAGACGGATTTAACCATCGAAGAACAGTTAGAATTTAATAAATTAACTGTCCAATCTAAAACGTTGAAGCAAGACTTAAAAAACATTAAAGAAGTCTTATGGGACTTGAGCGAGAGTGTAATAGAAAAATTATTGAAATTACCAAACGATGTGGATGAAAGAACACCGCTTCAATCCCCTGTAATATTGAAACGTACCGGTACATTGCATGAATTCTCGGACACAGGAGATAAGAAAAGTCATGTTGAAATTGGAAGGAGCCTTGGTTTATTGGAATATAAAAGTCCTATGCTCTACTATCTATGTAATGATGCAGCTCTTTTCGAACTTGGCGTATTAGATTATGCAGGAAAAATATTCAGCGCGGATGATATGATCAGATTAACTGGCGCTGATTTCAGTCGCAGTTTGGTGGTGGAAGGTTCTGGTTTGAATCACGAGGATCCATCGGATGCCTTTGTAATAGATAATTGTAGCGAAATAGAAGAACACTCCCCAAATCGTATGCATCTTGTTGGAAGCGCAAGTTTAGTTGCAGTTTTAGCTATGCATGCAAAACAATTGATAAATCCACTTCATTTTCCGATAAAATATTTTTCTACCGGGAGACAATACACTCCTTTCCGACCAGGCTCTACACCACTTGGTTTGTTCACCGTGTGCCAGGCATCTGCCGCACACGCCTTCGTATTAGTCAAAGACATGAACAGCCAAGAGTATCATACTCAGTTCGAAACATTGTTGAATACTGTTTGTCAATTGTACGACAATATATGCGATCATTATCAAATTGTCATGAGACCTGCATCAGAATTGCGACCTTGGGAATCGATGCGCGTGTCTTTCGAGTTGTGGTCAGTATTTTCAAAACAATACATAGAGGTTGGCCATATCTCTGTATGTGGTAACTATTTTAGTAAAAGATTACTGATCGCGTATCAGACACCGACCGGAAGAGATTTTCCTTCCGTGATATCTGGCACCGTGTTATCAGTACCACGTCTTCTAGGATGTTTATTGGAGCAAAATTCCGAAAAATTTATTGTTCCGCCGAAAATCGCGGAACACATGCCTATGGGTCAACCTATAGTTTAAAATTAGGAAACGAATTTCTAAATAACAAAATGCTTTCAAAATTTTTACATCCTTTGTACATAATTTATGTATTGTTTTTTAAGTGGACGTAATTTGGTTTCACTACTTCGGATACCTTTCATTTATTTTTGTAGAATTCTATGTATGTATTTTGCTAGAATAAATATTTATGATACATGAACGAATATCAAATAAATACAGCGATGCTGTCGGAGTTTTTTTTTGAACTGGTTTTCTGCTTTTCAAATCTACCGTGAGACATCTTTATCTTACTCGCGCTCTTTTGAAAGAGACACTCGGGATGTCCTGGAATATTTACCCTACACCCCTTTCAATTTTAGACAGTTTTGACTCGAACGTCGGCTAATATCCAAGGCAAAGTAATTTGAAAGTAATCATTACATCACAGTTCTGGCATAAAACGTTTATATGTGTACATATCATCGAATTAACAGGTTAATGTTACTTTAGAATCGTTTGATTTTCGCTTTGTGTAACTATAAATTTTTATTTTAAATTTGAGAAGTACAACGAAATCGATTTTTATGCACTCTTTTGTTTTCGAGAATTGTGGACATTTCTGATCATTCGATATTTGTTGATTTTAAGAAAGTGAAAGATTAGCATTTACCATGGGTGCACCAGAGTTCGGGAAGTTGCCAGTTCGGATACGAAGAATCGTGTATTACACTTTATCATCAATGGAACAACGTTTTTGGGCAAAGTCAGTATCGCACGGCATACCAAATTTGTTTTGGCGAATGTTACGGATTCTTCCGGAAATTACACCAGGTATGATGAACTGGCAAAGAGAGGTTGTACCGTGGGATTACCGATTTTATTCAAACTTTTTCTGTTGATTTTACAGTAGGAATAAATAGACACATTAACATTTAATTGTTGAATTTCTCTATATATTATTTGTATAACTTTTACAAAATGTTCACATTGCCGGAAATGTACATGTTTGTCGATGCATACTATTCGAGTCGGAAAATAAGTAAGAAAATAAATAAATTTAGAAGGAAAAATATAAAAATAAAAAAAGAAAAATTTATAAATAATTATCATTAAGAAAAAAGCTTAGGTATGTGTCTATTTATTTTTTGTAGAATTATTAGACGAAATTTGGAGCGAATAGGCGGGAATAAAATTGGCGGTCCAACAGGTGGCGACCCCACTCTGCGAGACCAAGGATAACAGTTTTGAAATCATATTCTTGTTTGATGGTGCCCCGTATTTCGTGGTTTTTATGTTGCGTTTGCTTTTGTGATCAATTATTGTTTTATTGTAGCAGTGATAGTGATGATCTGGACAATCAAGTGGAGTAACGCAGTGCACAAGAAAATAAATAGGAAGGATCCACGATTGTATGAAAATGATACATAAGACAGTTTAAATAATTCAAGTTTCCGTTGACTCGTACCGTTACTTGTATAAAATTGATTCTAATTAATTAATATGTGATTCTTTTGAATATGTGTGTAATAAAATTTATTGAACAAGCCAGGTGTACTTGAAAATATAATAATGTGTTATTTTATGAAAAATGTTTTACTCTTGCAAATGTATTACTCTTGTCTGATTTGAGCGGAATTCTACAGTTTAAACAGTATAATAGTAGATAGGCTAAGCACAACAAATAGTTTACAATTTTATTTCAAATATGATACAAGTAAAATAACATTGAAAAGTTTTAATAGTCCAGGGCACAAAACAATGCTACACCTCTTTTGATCCAATGAGCTTGAGGTTTTCTACTAGGAATTTCCATTGCCAAAACAAAATTGGTAGAGTGTCCGGTTGTGCTCAATGTTCCTGCTCTGTTAATAGTTTTGTAAACAGGACAGGAATAAATTCCTTTGGGGGTTTGATGATATACTTCTGGCAGGAGTAGAATTGGAGGCATATCTATAAAAGTAGTATCGAAAGAAAAGCTTAGTTATATTGTATTTTGAACAACACATAGAAGATTACTTGTGTTAATCTTTAACACTGTGACTTCTACACCAAAGTAATCAGTAGCAAATAATCATGAAGAAAAATATGTAGGTGTGGGAGGGTATGGAGGGAAACAGGACGTTGTCAGGAGCCCGAAATAAACCCTCCCAGTCTTAATAACGATGATATATATTTTAAATAAATGATATATATTAGTCGGGCGCGCGCGAGTGTACGTGACAATCCTCGTCAAAGTCTTTGCTGTAACTAACTGATGACCTGGCCTGCTTGGCCTTGCCATCCCTTTGCCGCTTTCCCTTTTCCCGTAAGGAACAAAGCGGCCTACGTCATGGGAAAACCCCTGTACCCTGTCCTCTCCAAGCTAAAGAGGCCCGTTAGCCTCCTACATAGGAGATATTGTTCTAGTCTAATATGCTTCTTTTCATTGAGCTTCTACTTTCAATTGTGCAAAATAGAAGATATTTCAATAGATATATTGTGTTAGTAGAAATTAATAAGTGAAATAAGTAGTAGACTTTCAATATCAATGATCTGAAAGAGTTTTGAGACCATCGACATATTCATTGTAGCAATAATTACTGGTGTACAGCTCCTTTGGAAGGGATTCATTTAAGTAATTCTTGTCCCATCGACAACCCTCAAGGAACAGACCATAAATAACACAACCATCTCTGGGTCTGTATGTTGGCATTGCACTCAATACCTATAATATTAAAAATGGTTGTATAGTTATCGTTTTTATTGTGTTTATTACAATTCAGATAAGGTACATTTATTTTATGGCAAAATTAAATAAATGATTTTGAAATAATTTTAAATAGGACAATAATAACTCTTGATTAAAAAATATGTTAATTAAGAAGCACCTGGAAGCTGAAATCAATAGTGTCGATGGAAATAACGTGATTTCGTGCGAAATTCTGCAGGGTACCAGTTAGGAATGCTTGTGGGAAGTAGAAACCAGAAATCCAAAATGCTGCGGGTATGCCATGAGTTTCCCAAGACCTCAAAAACGCGATTCGGTCCTTCAGGTCGAGGAACCAAGCACCTACATTTTCGTTACCGTTTGAAACGAAATTAGGTATTATAACGGAATTCGTGTGAAATTCAATAACGATAAAGATAGTTGCATTATAAAATTGATTTTATTGAATACTGTTCACCTAAAAGTATCTTAATATTAACTATAAGAGTCATTCAATTAAAAAGGGATCAAAGCGATAAAGTTACCGAGCGGTTTCAGGGAAGGGTAGCCTTTGTCTTGCCAAACTTTTGGAATTCTGTTGTTATACAAGCTATTCGATACAGTTTCTAAATGCTGGGACATCACGACCAGACCCTTCAAGGCTTTCAATAGGTCCACCAATGTTGTCTTTACCACTTCCAACAGCCCGTTGTAACGTATCGCTTCCTGTAGCAACACAGTGTTGAATGACTCTTCGTACAAAACTGGGTACCTGAAACGTTTAAGTTATGACCGAAATCGTCCGTGGGAAGAGCCAGAAAGTTAACCGTGCATTATTTTACTTCGATTGCATAGCCGCCAGGTCGAATGTTTTTGGCATCTCTGCCAACATATCGTGGGCTAATTGAGTGGTGACTTCTTCGGTGCTCGCAGCTGCGATCCCGACTTGGCGAGGCTGAAGTGCAAGAAGTGTATCGAGGCAGGCGTAAGTCTCTGCCTGAGCGCAACTTATGTCCGCGTTTGGATGCATTCCGAACATCGAGGGCTCGTCGTTCAAAGGGAATGTTTTTATGTAGTCGATATACTCTTCGAACGTGGCCACGTCCGGCAACTGAAACAAACGGGTGCATCGGAAACGATCAGAGTCGAGGGACTTAAAGGAAAGCGTTACATTCGAGTATAGGAATGTCTCGATTAGAATATTAGTATAGAGATGGCGATCCCTATTTGGGATCTTTGATGCGTATTACTTGATAGTAGTGCCCTTCTTCGTCGAACGTATAGGATTCTGAGAGGATTTCAGGCTTATAGAAGTCCTCGAGGATAGTTAAAACGCATCGACGATCCCAGTCGTCTGTTATTCGTCCACCGTAATTGATGTGGCCGGCAGTGTATATAAGGACCTTTAGATATTAGATATTATAACCGATTAATAAGAAAAATAATATTGTTTTACAAACAGCAGGTAAAATGTAGTCGTAGGACCCAGTTTGTTGATCGAACGTTGAAACAAGTTTACCTTAAATGGCACAGTTTCATATTCTAAAAGAAACATGTGGAGTTGAGATATGCATATGGTCAAGTCGCCATCGGTGAATTCGTACGGTATATTAAATCCCAAAGGTCCGAATTTTCGCCTTTCGAGGAGAACCGAGTGGAATAGACACAAAGAAAATACCAGCCATTTGAATTGCGGGACTTTCGCGTGATCGGATAGGAGGAAGCTTTGCATTTCGATCACTTGCGTCAGATAGGCGCGAAACATGTTTGCCTGTTATAAGTCAAAATATAAAACCGTGATTTACGCGTATCGATAGGTAGGATGAGATCAAACTTGGACAGTTAATTAAACGCAAGTATTTTTGTTGTTTACTTTTACGCCTCTGGGGGGCTCGATCGTCATTTTAGTGCTGTTTTGAAGTATGCTAACGGGGAAATCCGGAGACGGCGCCGAAGTCAACCATAAGCGGAAATCCGGATGACTCTTTCCCCTTCCCAATGTTTCCACCAGCGTGTCTAGTTCTGGCATCCAACTTGGTGCCAAGTGGCAGTTCTATGAAGATATATTCTTCATTAATCCCACAGCAATATACGGGGTACCTTAAATATTTCCATTTCTATCGAAGATATGTAAATGTGATCAAAAGTTAGAAATATTTTCTCGATAGTACGTAGAATTTCGGGGGTATGTGTATTCGCCAAAAATGATTGTAATTGACCCCCGCAACCGAAAATAATTTTTCCAGAACGATTTGAAATATTTTAATTTTATCGAAAAATTTGTCCACCTACTCGAATTTGTTTCTCAAAAGTACATACAATTTCGGGGGTATGTGTATTCGCCAAAAATGATTGTAATTGACCTCCGCAACTGAAAATAATTTTTCCAGAACGATGTGAAATATTTTAATTTCGCTATAAAATTTGTCCACCTATTCGAATTTGTTTCTCGAAACTGCGTAGGATTTCGGGGGTATGTGTATTCACCAAAAATGATTGTAATTGACCTCCGCAATTGAAAATAATTTTTCCAGAACGATGTGAAATATTTTAATTTCGCTATAAAATTTGTCCACCTATTCGAATTTGTTTCTCGAAACTGCGTAGGATTTCGGGGGTATGTGTATTCACCAAAAATGATTGTAATTGATCCCCGCAACCGAAAGTAATTTTTTCCAGAACGATGTGAAATATTTTAATTTCGCTATAAAATTTGTCCACCTATTCGAATTTGTTTCTCGAAACTGCGTAGGATTTCGGGGGTATGTGTATTCACCAAAAATGATTGTAATTGATCCCCGCAACCGAAAGTAATTTTTTCCAGAACGATGTGAAATATTTTAATTTCGCTATAAAATTTGTCCACCTATTCGAATTTGTTTCTCGAAACTGCGTAGGATTTCGGGGGTATGTGTATTCACCAAAAATGATTGTAATTGATCCCCGCAACCGAAAGTAATTTTTTCCAGAACGATTTGAAATTTTTTTTGTCACCGAAAAATTTAGGCACCTACTCGAAATACCGTGTATGTTCATGTGATGTTTTTTTTAATTTATATAATGTGTAGATTCACATTGTATGATTTCTAGAGTATCTATAGCGGGACACCCTGTGTATTGAGGTTGCAGTTTCGTTGTCCAGGTACTATTAATTTTCGAAAAACCCTTGCCAAGAGCAAGTAATTATCGGCCGAGCAAGAAATGTACAGTTGCGAAAGTTAAATGGATGTAATGGCTATTGCAACGAAAATTACTGTTCGAAAGCAGTTAGCTCGAGAGGCAGAAATAAATAAAGAACTTTGATTTTCTGTTTAACTTATTCGTTAAAGCTCAATTGCATCGTTCATGGTTCTGATGTTTCAAGAATAAAATAGAAATAAATTATTTACCAAATAGCGTCATAAATTAGAATTACGCGGACGGTTGTAAAAATACTTTTTACGAGATTAAATAATATAACGATGTTCCGTAAATAATTGAAAACTTTAAATGTTCCCGATACGTTTATCAAGCGTACGTTTATTTATACAATTTTCAGTTCGCTTGTGTTTTGTAAATTTCGACGCAGATTAGTATTCCGTGAAAAATGGATTACATAGAAGCCATGAAATAAAATAAAAAAAGATTCCATACAAGATAACAAAACGTACATTTTTCTAAGCTGAGTTTGATTTAACACGAATACGTTTTTTCATCTCTTCGTTTCGCTATCGAATGCCCATAGTCCCATTTTGTGATGGGATAGATCATACTCCCACTCGCCGGTGTATTTCAAACATAAAGGAGATAACACTTTTTCTCTGTCCATCCTTTTAACGTCTGAGAAAAGATCCGCGAGATATCTGGGTTTTTTCTTTTCTTTTTTTTCCTCATTCAATCGAGGGCATTTTTATGATCAACGATCGCAATATTTTTCGACGCAAGGCACGACGAATTTTCTCCTTTACACGAATATCTTCTACCGATTTGTATGGATATTTGACGCTACAATGATTGATACTTTCGCGTATCAGATGTTTGTTCCGTTGTACCTTTTACAGTTTCTTCTACCGTAATTAAATTCACCGACAATTTGATGTAAACATCTGTTTACACTCACTTGGAAGAAACACCAACATCCCTGTTCAGACGACAGTTTTAGCAAGGCCTCTGCTCTTGGTCCTTGACCCTGCCCGAGAGAAATCGCGTGCAGTTTGGTCCCCATTTTTAATCTGTCCGCGAACTTGTACAATTCGGCCGCTGGATCCGTGCCGGTAGACAAAATGAAAACAATAGGCGTAGTTGGCGAGGATTCGTTATAAACAGCGGATAATTCCGTGGTTTGTGGTTCGACGAATTCCCGACCCAGATGCTTGGCAAGGTAAAGTTGCATCGCATTTGTAACTTTGTCGGGACGTAAACACTTCAAAATCAACATCTTTTGAAAGTCGTCTAATTCGGTGTCCCACGGCTCTGGCAACGGAGCTCTGTGCAGAAAAACAAACCTCGAGCTTCGGTAGTGAAATATAACGTTTCGTTAAAATTTAGCGTATAGATTGATCCCTCCAAGTATAGACACGCACGTATGAATCATCCTGTAAGTTTCGCTCAGAAAGACACCGAGCGATTTGTATTTTACTCACAGATGCGCTTCTTGCGCGTCGAATACTGTTTTGAATTGGGTCAGCGACCGCTGGAAGGACTCGATGAAGTTGCCAAACTTTGGAAGGCTCTCGAGCGCCTGGATCTCTTTCCAGCAACGCGGAGTTATCCATTCTGGTGATGGATTCGGTCTGTCCTGCGATAGGGAGAATAGAAGACAAGTTTAAGCGTCCGTGAAACGTTGAAAATCCAGATCGCCCCCGCCACCTTTCATATACCCTATCTGGAGCTAACTAGAACGTGAAATTTCATGAAACTTCCCCCTTGAATAGTTTCATACAGACGTATGAACAATTGCGCTTCGAAACTGCTTTCTAAGAAAATATATTCTATTCAAAAATGATATATTTCGTTTCTAAAGTTTCAATATTTGAATTTCTAGAGCTGGGCATCATCCAGTGTACGGGTGACATCGCTGGAATTTCTCTTGATGTCCCAACAGTACAAACGCACCAAAGCCACGCGGTGCGCAAGGGAGATGCGCGATGATGCTACCGTGCCATCGATGGCTCGTTAGTTAGATCGCAGCGGTGTCGCGACGCGCACGTGCTTTGCGCATCCTCTGAGTCGAGAGGGACCTACTACGTTCGATCGAAAATCGTATGCCACAAATTGGCTTCTCCCTGCTAGTTCCAATGGCGTAACAATAAACAGTCGATCGAAAACTTTGAAAATTTTACCTCCAGAGGTTCTGGTCCTGCTAAAAAGTGTCTCCATTCCGTCGCGTCGATTGATTTGTCGTTCATTCGGATTCGTGCGCAGACCAGAAACGCAAAATGCAATTTGTGCCTCTCGAACAGGCTGCGGCAGACGTTCGAGAATAGGGAGAACATGAACTGATGATTAATCCCCATGACTCGAAGTTCGATATCGTCTAGAAAGTACAACCGTTCGTACAGTTAGAAAAAGACTCGAACGACCTTTAGATTATTGTACGAAACTCTGCTTCAAAACCTGATGGTTATCCGCACGTAACAAGACAGGTAAACAACTGCCTCTAACTTAAGGTTATCGCGAAGTAAAAGCTTGCAGCGATAAACTGCTCGTAACAGACTAATTACGAATGAATATTCCTGCTGTTGTTAGACTAATCGTAAGGTTTAATGTTATGTATAATTACTCTGGTAATGCAATGGGGACGAATCTCATAAGACAACAACGTGATGATAATTAGGGATTGACCATAACAGGAATTATTAGCGTATTACGATCATACGTAATTGTTTGGGTTAGCTTTTCCGGTAATTCTGTTAGCTGTATGTCATTTGCATTTACATTGAGATTACGATGACGATTATGATACAAATTACGATCGGAATTAGTTCAATACTCGTTGTTGTTATTATCATTGCAATATTCTAGATTTGATTAGGAATAACGCAGTAGCTGCACTAACCGCTCTTTTCGGTCGCGATTATACTGTTGTTGAAAATCTCGACGAACCATTCCAAAGAGTACTGGTACATAGTGTCGACGTATTGCAAATCGGACAGACAAAAAAAGAGTATCCGTCCCCGGACTGCGACGGGGATGTACAACGATCTGGTTATCTCTATGTCTGCTTGAATGATCTCTGCCTCGTGCATTTTTACCTGTAGCACACATAACAAGCTACGATTTGTGCTCGTGATTTTTATGCGAGGAATATTGATTGTAGAGCGATAGTCGTACGTACGGGGTATTTCGGTTAGAGTTTACGAACGTACCTTGATCTCTTCGCTTTTAACTTTGGACGCCTCCAAAGTGAGGATGAGATCCATATCGTCGACCGCAGAACCTTCCGATACCGACAACCTGTAGAGAATTCTGTCTTCTATTTCCTGCAATTCCCTTCTCATTTCAGCGTTGGATACGATCAGGGCGTTTCTTGTTTGCTCAAGGTCCGGCCGTTCTTGAATGGCGACCAAAGATAGCATCTGATCCTCCAGGCCACTTTTACGCAAAAAATATCATACCACTTTCGAAACGTTCAAAGTATCGATACAAAATTAACGTAGATAAATTAATTTCCTTTTCTACTGTTAATACTATTTCTTTTATCACCGGGAATCTTTACCTTTGGGGGAAAATGTTTTATATTTGCGAGCGATAAAGGAATCGGCGAGGTACGGCTACGATAACGCTCCCCTGAGTGTCTTAGGAGGAGAACTTATACGGAAACTTTGTTACAAAGCGATTCGTTACTTACGTGGTGGTGAGAGCAAAGTTCACCAGCAAGATTTTCACCGAGACTTCCGGCGTGTAATGGGGATTCGAAAGCCTCGTGGTGAGAAACAGACGGAAATCTGCGTTGTACGGAACGATGTTTTCTCCGATTTTAACGCACATTAGACCGCCGTGCTCGAACAACGATCGCATCAGTATGGGATCCAAGCCAGCCTCGAGCTCGAGGCCGACGTTTTCTATGAGACAGGCTCTCCCGAATCGTACGCAGGACTCCAAAACGCGTAGAATGTCTTTATCAGCCATTTTCGCGATGGATATCCCGTTGTCCTTGTACTGAATTTCCATTAAAGTAGAAGAAATTTTAGCAAATCATGTACGTTTACGTTTTATAGAGATTCGTGTTTCAATATTCAATTATTTTTTAAGATAGCCAAGACGAAAAGGAATACCTTTATTTTTCGATTTTTACTTTCTACACTTTTCTAGTTTAATTACTGGAGAACACGGTTAAACGCGCTGTAAATCACGAGAGACTTAAGGCGAGAAGCGTCGGCGATAATTTTCGTTTTAAAAAGCAGGGCTCAGGTGAACAGCTTCGTACAAAACACGAACGAAGCTTGGTGGAATTCTCAACCTTCCTACGTACAACTCATTAATTAAAACTTGATTACGCGGTTTCAGCGTTCTGTTTGACGGTCTTGACGAGTATTATATTTATTCATATACAAGATTTCGAAGAATCGCTAATGAATGTACGATTAAATCGAATGCCATTATTATTGCGAGGTACAGAAACATTTAATATAGCATTTCATCTGATTTGCTTAGGCTTCGTATGTAAATCTCGCAAAAATCAACGCGCAAGCGAAAAGATCTTTCATAGAGAGACGAGTATGTTCGTTCGTAGAAATTCGAATATCAAAGTGGCGGAGTTTAAACGCGGAATGGTCCGTTTGCAAAGCTGAATCGTTATTGACCCACTCAGTTAGAAATACAATCTACGCAAGAGGGGCAAAGTGCATCTTGTATTACGTACTTTTCGGTTCGAAGTGACGCGTTCCCTTTACTCACCAGAGAACGTATCCACTTGTTTGCCTGCGCTTGGGGGTCGATAAAAAGAGGCCAGCGGTTCGAGTGCATCGCCAGTACGGCGTTTTCCACGGACAATGTGTCTCTGGGTAAGCCCTCGATCTGCCATTTTCTTATCTCCACCTCGTCACCCAGGGTCGACACGGGGTCGCTGCCTGGCGTGTGGGGCACGTTCTCGAGCAGTTTTTGCCAGGACGTCAAAAGCGTCACCCGGTATTTGTCCGTGAATGGCGTCAAATAAGCTATCGCGCCTGTGGAACGCATATAACTTTTCTAATGACTTTTCTCTTTTGCAGGGGATCAGCCAAATTGTTTCCAACCTTAGTAGGAAAAACAGATTCCATCCATCTCGCGTAAAAATATCTCTTTGGATAGACTGAAATACTTTTATCGACTTAGCTTGATAAGTGGTGATATTTCTTACCGGAAGCGAGTAAGATATCACCAACGACGTTCTTCAAGGATGTATTTATGTCATCCACCGTCGACAACCAGCGTTTCTGCTCCCCAGCCAGACCGACTATCAGTCTCACGGCCCTCCCCATTCTATCCTCGCAAAGCTGCTTTTGCCTCTCGAGTTCCGCCTTTTTCGCCTCCCCCACGCGTAAGAGATTTCGCAGCTTCTCTATACCCTCCTCCACTTGTCTTAGCCTTTCTATTGCGGCCAACAAGGTTCTTTCCGTTTCCTCTAGTGCTTCCTCGGCTTTGGCCAACGCTTCCATCTTTGGTTTTACTTTCAGGTTCACGAAATAGTAGTTGTACATCGCGTGCACCCACAAACACAGCGAGTAGCAGGCTTTCGACACGTATTCGATCTGTAAAGGACGGCGATTAGCGCGGATGTTATTAAAGCACAGAGTTTAATTGCTTTCGATAAAGTTGAACCTTTGCTGGTTGGAAGTCAGGGTTCTCTACGTAGACCTTCAGCTTAGTAATCATTTCCTCTGTGAGATTTTCCTTGTCGTAATTCTCCATGGTGTGCAAGAAGTGGCCTGGATCCGACAACATTAGACTACCTGGCGTCCAATAATCTAATTTCACCTCTGTACTGAATTTTCCTTCGCCTTTCTGCGCGGAAAAGGACACCACTAGAATTTCCATTTGCAAATTGACGAATAACAGAATACACGAAAATATTGGAACAAAGCACGCCTTTTCCTGATGGAATCACAAAGCGCTCTGGTTATTCATTTTGTACTGTAGCAACAAAAACATCGCGTTAAATATCACCTGGCTAATATAACACAGATTATGAAAAGGTTTCTACAAATAGTGATTTTACGTTGATGAACAAGTCCACGCGCGTTCGAGCGATTTTCCCATCGGTTTTCGTTGCTCAAAGTTCCATTTTGTGCGTGCTTCTTTATCCGTAACTAGTGTAAGAACCGGAAATGGGGGGTAGCTGAGACGATTCTGAACAACAACTTCCTTTGCAAAAATGTCGGATGGGGCTTCGTTTTTTAATTATTAACGAAAAACACTGACCAATCACGGTGCGCGCTCAGGGTCGTCCGAACTCGGAGAGCCCACGCGTCGGGTAGGTAGCAAGATGTGCATTGAAGATACATACGTCGAGGTACGAATACAAATAATTAAAAATACTACCACTGCAACTGTTACCTAATTCGTTAATTACTACGTAATTAGTACGTAAATTTCTAAATCGAATTTATTAATTATTTGTATTCACTGTTTCCAAGGAAGAAGGAATAAAATGTGGGAAGATGCTCTCGGAATTTTTAGAAAGTTAACCCTGCGCACCCGAGTAACGCTTCTCGCCAGAGTGTTTTAAAATTAAAATAAGAATTATTTTCCGAAAATTAAAATAAATACGGTAAGAACCATTTGTAACCGTTTGCTATTGAAACATTCCTCGAATGCAAAAGTTTAACAGAGAAATAATTGAAATTCAATTTACCTGCTGCGCTGACAATAGGGCCCTGTCAGTACACCACTATCGATCGCGGCAAGGTCGAAGACCCCAACGAAAATCAGCTGATGGGACGGTCCGGCCACTGCACCGCCGTGATCGATAGCGGTGCACTGACCAGGCCCTATTGTCAGCGCAGCAAGTAAGTCGAATTTGAATTATTTCTCTATTAACCCTTTGCATTCGAGGAATGTTTCGGTACGCACAAATCCAGTCTACTTTTCCAGTACAGTTTTTAATAGCAAACGGCTACAAATGGTTCTTACGGTATTAATTTTAATTTTCGGAAAATAATTCTTATTTTAATTTTAAAACACTCTGGCGAGAAGCGTCACTAAGGTGCGAAGGGTTAATTTCCTAAAAATTCCGAGATTTTATTCCTTTTTCCTCGGAAACAGCGAATACAAATAATTAATAAATTCGATTTAGTAATTTATGTAATAATTACGTAGTAATTAACGAATTAGGTAACAGTTGCAGTGGTAGTATTTTTAATTATTTGTATTCGTTCCTCGACGTATCTTTAATGCACATCTTGCTACTTACCTACCCGACGCGTGGGCTCTCCGTATTCGGACGGCCCTGAGCGCGCGCCGTGATTGGTCAGTGTTTTTCGTTAATAATTAAAAAACGAAGCCCCATCCGACATTTTTGCAATGAAAATTGTTGTTCAGAATCGTCTCAGCTACCTCCCATTTCCGGTTCTTACACTAGTTACGGGACACCCTGTATACATAAGTTATAGCGTGTTCTTGTGAACATAAGAATATTACGAATGGATCGCTGAGGTTCTCCCGATGAATTTGAGTCCAAACACGACCTCGTTCTGACTACTTTTATTTATACCCAATCAGACACTGTTAAAAATTAATAGAAACAACGAATATAGTTGTGTTTTGACTCATTTTCGTCGGCAGAATCTCGAGAGAACATCACGACAAGTATAGAATCGTAATTTTCGGTAGTAGGCGAAATTCGATCGAATGCTGTATCGGAAAATATGTTTGTGCAAGAGTCTTTCGCGTCGAGCGAACAAAAACAGCAGCCGGAGATAATATTTGTAGGATTAGGAATGTAAAAATCTAATCATTTATTAGAAATGCGCGAACAAAAAACGAATAAACATATAACTGAAACAATAACAAAGGACACACCGCGACTTAACATATAACTTTCCGTATTATATTCTCACTCGTCTCCCGGACGCGTGCTTCTATTCACCCCGTTCTCGAACACTTGCCGGTTAAACTTCCGGTAATGTTTCGAGAACGTTCTCGATCATTCATATCAATAACTCGTTACTATCGTACACGCACTCATACATCCAATCATGCAATCATTCACGATCGACACATTCATGTAGTTCAATCATTTCAGAACGTTCTTGACGATACGAAGAACGCACGATACGAATTACGCTCGTCACCTACATATTGTTTCATCTACGCGGGATGTATACTCTGTACTGTTGGGATAACGAAGGTACTATTGTGTTACCAAATATTTTCTACGAACCTTGATTGGTTTCACATTGTTTATGATACAAATAGCTTCTATCACCAATAGTACACCAACCGGTGGTCGTCTCATCGCCTTCACTTCCGTGATGTCGTTTCTGTTGAGGGCTTTCAAGCTTTTCTCGGCGGCAATCAACATCGGACGGGCTAGACCTATGACAAATTCCCGTGCAATCGTATTCCGAGATATATGGTTGACGAAACAGACGCATTTGCCTTGTGCATATACCCTGTATATTATACGAATAATACTCTATAAAGAAATATACGAACTTAAATCTGCCTCTGCGTCGTCTCGGATCTTTTGGTTCTCCACTTTCATCCTCGCAGCTACGTCTTCTTGTTCCTTTGCCTTTGCTCTCGTCTCCTCAGCTTCGATCTAACAGAGGCGATCAAATTTTCAATTTATTCTATGAAAGAGACCGCGGAACATAGTACAGATATTGCCATACTTTTTGTTGACAATACTAACTGTGTCGTGGGTGATTCTTTCGATCATTTTAGCCGTTTCCGCCGCTGCTTTTTCCAATTGCGGTTTCATGTTCCTCAATAGTTCCTGCATCTTTTTCACCTCGACCTCCGCGCTTGCCAGCTTGTCTAGACCTATTGTTAAAGTAATTTAAATTAAATGGAATCTTGGAAGTTATATTTTTAATTTAGATCAATTTAAATTGTATTTTCCTTTGTTCCTCGTCGCGATGTTTTCATTGGCGTTCTTATGGCGCTGGCGGTTAAAGTAAAACCTCCTCGAAACGATGAAAGCGGAGAGGATACTGTGGATATTGCGCGCGGAAGACCTTGTGGAAATATATGCAAATGCAACAAAATCGGTCGATTTGTATTTCTTATGGCCTGCTTTAAATGATTAAAAATCGAGGTACTGAGAAAACGTTGAAATAAAACAAGCTTTGCTCGGTATCGCCTAGGGGACTTTCCAACGAAACAACCAAGTTTCCTTCCTTTGCGTCCTCTTAACGAGTTGTTAATCGAAGTTCAAAATGAGGCGAATTATTCATCGAGTTAAAGTTATTGCTAAGCAATTGGGGTTTTAACTGATTTTCTATTGAAATTATTAATTGATTATAACAATCGGGTAAACGAATAAATATGAGGGTATGCAAATCATCCCCATAGAATAGTTAATGTTTGCGTAATAAGGACGTTCCCAATCGCGTCGATGATTAATGCAATTAGCGTGCATACATTTGCAGCCAAGCGTAATTTAATTTTCCTAGATTGATCGAAGAAACTATTGTATTAATTTCCATATCCAGCGTAATTTGTTCACGTCACGCAATTCAATCCCTCATAATCGCTCCTCTAAATGTGTCGACGACCGATGATATGTACAATAATTCACTGCATTATACGAACGGACACATTGAAATGATTACTTTGTATCTACTTCTCAAACCGCTTTAGAACTATAAAGAGATAAGGGTGGGTGACTAACGAAGGGTTAATTAACTATTTACTATTTGTATCTTTAGAAACGACAATTCTGAATAAAGATTAAAACGACACGAGCAGAAAAAAAGGAAATATCGTTGCCTGGACGGAACAGATGCACAAATAGGAAAATTGTATTCGACCCGATCGACTTTTCGTCTATCGCGTAATCTAGGGGATTAAATAACGTTCGTTCAAAGACTCGTTCTACATGGCCGAAAAAAATCGGAAGGAATTTAATTCTGCCATGTGCACGCCTCGACGAGAATTTACGTGAAAATAAAAGCCGTTACGAGTGGATGTTAAAGCTGTCCTTGGTTGCTCATAAAATATTCGATCTGTGGCAATCCACAGAGACGTTTGTGCGAGATTAAAAAATAAATCTCTGTCGAGAAATTAGCGAGATTGCTCGCAAATTGTCGCGAAAAAATCGTAAATACCGCTACTCAAGCTCGAAAAATCATTGTATAAATACGTTTCTCTTGATCGATTTTTATTTTATTTTCGTTCGTTTCAAGCGTTTCTATAAATTCCCTAGATTCCACTGTTCCCAAACTCAGACATATAATTTATAGCTAGCGAGAAGAAATCGATACTCCAAAGTTGGCACGTATCACGAGCTCCCATCACACGGACTTTGTTTAATTTATCATCTGCAAAAGTTTAACTCGGGTCCTTCACCTTTGAATCCTGGAATCTCTGCTTTGAATATTCAGACAAAATTGCGCCTACTCGTAATAGGGTTAAAGTGTTAATAATAACAGTATTATAACTAAAATTACACTCTGAGGATCTATTATAGAGATTTTAGAACCGCTGCTATTGGCGTCTTCGATCGATCTTCGCTTTCGGTTACTAAACGATAGCAAAACTTTAATGTTTTATTACGAACCTGTTGACAGACGACTTTCCGCTGACTGTAGCTCGTTTTTCTTTTTTCTCAGAAGATCCCCGTAACCGGAAAGTAATTCCAGATACGACGTAGGTGTAACATAGTTGTGTCGATCCAATTCCTGTGCAATTAAAGTTAAAGCGTTAATGTTCCCAACTTCTTTCATTAAACAGCACCGAGTCCTGTAAGAGTTACACTTTATCATCGAAAATAACAAACGTGATATTAGAAGAATCGCATTTCATAAGAACATTATTATCAGAGATTTCCATGAAAATACAACTTCAACCAACGAATTTTGAAATGGAAATATTTTTTTGTTTTCAGTTGTACCAAAAACTACACCCCACGCTGCAACATTTTCCCCGAATAGAATGTTTTTGTACATAGGATTCGTTTTCGAGGATCAGCTTATTTTTTATTGTATTACTGTAAGGAAATTGACAATAACACGTGTGCGGTAGCGGTATATCGCCTTTGAGCCTTTTGTCGGCGAACTCGCGATTGAGCCTTTGACGGCGAACGCGCTTTCGGGCCTTTGGTCGGCGAACGCGCTTTCGGGCCTTTAGTCGGCAGTCGGCTTGCGAGTCGCCGCCGCGATTCCGCGAAACTTACGCGGGTCACACGTGGCTCTATAGAGTGACCGAGTCGCCACACGAACGACAAGGAGGAATCGGGGTATAAAACCCCTAAGCGTTGGACGAACCACAGAGTTCTATCCTGACCACGATGTACAACGTATCGCTGTTAAAATATATATCGTTCTTGTTACGCATCTGTTCTTAATTCCCTCAATCCATTAAGTCCTTACATTACCGAACGCAGAAGTTGTGAAAGTGCACACGCGAAATTGTAGCTGGAAAAAACAGATAAACTTGTTGTTTGCTCTATGTTTCTTACACGTTTGCGTTGTTTAAGTTCCGCGAAATCGGAGACTGATATCGCGAAACAAATACAACGTGCATTATTTTTGTTTCGATATTTCCATACGTAGAATCGGGAATTAAAGCGTCCTATTTTTCGAGCCAGTTTCAAAGAATGTTTGCAAAACGACCCCGTTCTCGAAGAAATTTACAAGTTTCTAAGAGCAGCCGCACACAAGGATCACATATTTCTTTTCCGATCGTAGTGATTCCAGCTTAAGGGATTAAATTACCCCTAAAAGTTCCAACCCTCGGGCGTTATCTTGAAACTGGCTGGGGATATAATCGGGATCTCAAGACGGATGTTTTATGGCCTTTGACGGAGAATAACATGGCAGAAGCGTTGGTAAAAAAATTTAACAAGAAATGAAAACATCGTTTCCACCATCTCGTACCGCCTAAGTTATTTATAGTTCGACGTAGAAATTTACCAATTTTATTCAGACCGTCCGACCATATATCGATTCTATTTCACTTGGACGATCAGTTACGGGTTTTTCTACTTGTCGAACGAGCATCATATTTTTTCTCGTCTTATGCAGCGTGCTCTAATTTGTCTACGAGAAGAGATTTACGTTTCTTGTTTGATTAATTTTTTGTACAATGACTATGCCCGAACAATGATTGATACGTTCTACTTGCTCGAACAATGCTTATGAAACTTGTCCGAATATCGATGATCATGCTCTTCAACGTTAGCCCTGTTCTACTTGCCCGACAACGTATGTCATTAATTTACTTGTCCGATTAGAGGATGTACTATTCTACTGGTTTCTGGAATAACTGAACTATTCCACTTGCCGGACTAGAAACCGATATCGTCTAACTTTTGACCTTTAACGCTTGACGTTTCTAGTGACATTCAGAATTCGGGGAACAGCGGCGATAAAAGTCCATTTAATTCAATAAATTTAAACATTTTTGTTGCACCTGAAATATTTTTCACGATTCTAATTTAATATCGTTCGTTGCACCGTGTCTATTTCTCTCATAAAATATAAAAATGTTTGCTCAGAATCCTCGTTGCGAAGTGTAATTTCATTCTCCGAGGTTCAGTTATCGCGACGTAAAGACAAAGAAATGTGTCACCTTTATTTTTGGCTGATGTCGAAGTCCAATAAAGTTTCGTCGCGATGCTCGCAAGAAATCCGCGAAGTATTAAATATAGTACGCCTGTAAAAACCCCCGCGGCTACTCGATATACCTCGCGGCAGCTCCATTAAATTCACCCCACCGTGTTCCTAATTTATGAGACCAAATAAACAACTCGCGCGCGTCACGGGAAGCGGCAAAACTTCGTAACATCCGGAAACGTCGATGGAACGAGACCGTTCGAAAGTTTCGTTTCTGGGTCTGTCCATCGATTCCGTTCGTTTCGATCTGTTTTAATCCACCGTCGAAGATTACGTACGAGGAATCTGTGTGGAAATCAAGGACGAGCGTCGCGAATCCAATCTTTTCAGACGGAGAAGAAATTATCGCGAACGTAGGTTTTTCGAACGAACGACGGCAGTGAAGGTGCTAATGGTTTTCCGTTACCTCTCGGTACGTTTCAATCCACTCTATTTAGTTGTGTCTGACGTTAACCGGACCGACGTTCCAGAGGCGGAAGCTTCTCGAAACGATAATAATTACTTTCGTGGATGTCAATAAAAGGAAGTCGTCTTTTTCCATCGTTGGCCGCGGAAACCGAACGATTGAACAGAAAAGGCAAGAAACGGTTCTTGGATTAAGTGAAACGTGGCGCTACCGAGAAAACTGACTAGGTATTCCGACCCAATACGACTCTCGTGCAAGATTTCCCTCTTTCTGTTTACGAAGTACCGGTTGTATGTATTCCACGAAGAAAAAAAGTATAGCGACAGAGATGATTAATTTCGCCTTACGGGCGATGAAAGGTCTTTTTCATTTCGTATAATAGAGTCGTTGATACGAATTTCTTCGTCCACTCACCTTAAGGAAGAGATCGCTCGCGTCTATCACGCTGGAATGCATGTATTGGCACATTCTTACAATCGATCGCAGAATATCTTCGGTGATGGACTCGTCTTTGATGTCGGACAGAAATCCCATAGCGACGCTCTGGAGAAGAAAAATTGCGCAGGACGTTAGCGACTCGCTTGCGATGGAAAACAGACAAAGGGATATTTTTACAGAGAAAAGTTCCGAGCGAAATTAATATTTGTATATTGTTATTTAATCCGAACTCGAAATGGTATCGATTCGAATCTTGTAAATTGCACGTGGTGTGCCGACTAAACGAAAGGGTTCGTAGGACCACCCCTTTTCAGGGGACTAACTAGACGAATTGATTTTCTGTATTTATGAAAACTCAACAAACAATACGCGAGATCAAGTTTATACACAGACTATGTTGGAAGGCTAGCGAACTATCTGGTGTTTGAAATACTAAGCCCGAAATCACGGTATTCCGCCGTTTTTATGCTGCTGTGCCGTCGCCTCCCATGCTCGCCACCAGAGGGGTCGCGCTCTCACAAGCGCTCGACCGACTTCTCGGTTGCTGTATACATTCCTCGAACGACTTCCCAATATCCTTAACGAGGTTTTTGAAACTTTTCCCTCGATCCTAACGCATGAAATTAACACAATAAAACCACCCCACCAAAATATCATACAGACAATAACCAAACATTTTTTAAGTGCAGGTTATAGGGCGCAGCCCAAGGTATTGCAGTCACACATGAGAAAATGACAAAAAAAAAAAAAAAAAAAAAAAAACTTCAGCAAAGCAGCGCCACACTGCTGACTTCTTGCACCCCCCTTCCACCAAGAGTCTCCATTCGTGGCGGAGTGTGCAACGATGCCAATGTAGCTTGGCGTCCGAGGTTGGAGGGTGCTGCTACGTTTGGCTACTCCGGGGATTTTCCATCACGTGGGTCGGACCCTGGGCCCGCGTGCAAAACTAACTACAAACGAGGGAGGCCCAGGTATGTATACAGGTTGTGCAACCACTCGACACTGCCTTCGCCGGCCAAGTTTATGACACTTTGTTCTATCAACGTAGAATTTCGTTTGCCCATGCTGGCCTTGACTAAACGCGGTCTGTGTCATAAGCCTGGCCGACTCAACAAAGCCCAAACAATTGTTTCGATATTAAAAATAACTTTGATTATTAAACATCGTATTCTTGTATTAAAATATTCGAGTTCATGGAATAAGCAATTCCACGCTTCTGAACGATAATGTATATTTCAAAGCGACGCCGTGAGAAAATGATTAGTTGTCGATAATGCAAAAGAGTTAACTTTGTGTCCTGGCTACGGTTAAGCCAACGTTAATGGATCGATTCGATGAACTGCTATCGACAATGCGCGTGACGTCATGCGAGAGCGACACCGCGGGTTGCAGGAGATTCGCGAATAATAGATTTTACGAGGCAGTCGTCGAACTACCGATAGCGAAAGTACACGTGTATATCTGTAGCTATTCCCTTATAATACTTTCTTAGAATAAATTTTCTTGTAACAGAACGAAGTTTATAATAAAGCGAAGGAACATGTTCTTGGGAGGGTTTGTAAAATGAAATAAAATACTTTCTACAACCGACACAGATCTAGCTAAAATTTAATAACAACCACATATTTCACGATTTACCAGACACTACCAAGTTCTCTCTGCAAATCTGGTCTTACATTTAATTATATAATGTGTGACCATTTCATTTACAAACTTTCATTCACCACTCAGGTTAAGTAGAAAGTAAAATAGAACTCGGACAGTTGTGAAATATCATTTTCGAGGACTCTGTACTGAACTTCCTCGTTGTTTCTAAAATATTGAAGGAGAAGAGTATTAGATATCCGCGATACTCGGCTATCAAACTATTTTCCGTGTCCAAAGTCAATGTTTATAGCGAGAAACACAGAATTCACCTGAGACTTAAAACGTTTCTTCGATAAGAATCGTCTTTGAAATGGAATTCTCTCATAGACTGAAGAATGCAGTATCATTGCAAAGTTTCGTAGCACCTTGCACAATAAAAGAGTTTCTTGAACGCCTGCATTTCGTCAGGGCAATGCGAAGGCATTTTAAAGTTCACGACTGCCGCATGTGGCTGACAGGATCTTTCGCTATGAAATCGAACAAAATTTCTGTCCTCGTAGATTCAGATAAGAATTCGACGGTCCGCGCGACACGGAACAAATATCCATTGACGTAGCCAATCGAAAATTTAATTTGTTCACGATTGAATGGCATGTTGCGTGCAATGTTATGCGCATACGTGATAATGCGTATTATAGTCGCTAGAAGGAGTAAATTCAGTTACAAACCTGAAGTGCAGCTTCTGGCCACGGGCAAAACCAATCGATCGTGCAGCAGTTCACCAAAGCCGGAAACTGTCTGATACGGGCACGGAAAACTTCTCCAATGGGACTGAGGGATCACAAAAGCCTCCGATGAAAACAGGTCACGTCAAGAAAGTCGGAAGTCGCTTCGATATTAATTCCAATATGATGTAATCTAAGGCTTCGGGTGGTTCGATTGGTTACCGCGCCACCCAACAGCTTACATCAAACTCTTTAACTTATTACCGCATATGTAATTATTATCGAAGATTTCAGACGTTATTTTAGTCTAACGAGGGAAGTTTGGGAACCTGGAAAGTCAACAGAATTATGAAATTCTCGCGTAAAAGTTATAATTCACCTTCGGGGAGTGAAATTAACCCCTAAAGAAAACGTAGAGGTATCGAACGGAAAAAATTTGATATTTAAAGGAGGCTTTTTTATATTTAAAAAGGTGTATTCTCTGCAGAGTAATGGTGTCTTAATACAGTTTAAATCACCATCACGATTGGAAAGGCGGACCAGCTTGTATAATTACAGTACGTCGTAACGATCGAGTAAGATACGTCGCGTGAATTAAATTGCAAAGGAGATAATACCTCATCGTGATGACGACATGTAAATTGTTCCGAACCGTCTTCACGTAGGCGGAGAAAAGGTTGCTTCTATTAATTTGCAAGCCAGCCTCTTGGACCGCTCCGCGCATCGAATGAAATATCTTCTCCATCTCTTCCATTTGGTATATGTTCGGTACGTCGCCATTATTTAAAACGCTGTTCAGATCCTCCAGCATGGCGTCGTCCTTTATCTGGAAGACAACATCGAGCGTTTCAAATGGAAAATCAAACAAAAAAAGAATTAGTTTGGCCATCGTCGGAGAATATCGATTCTGTCTTAAAGTTCTAAAGATGTTACGACGACGTCACGACTTTTGCGGCCGGTCAGGCGCTCTAAAGGACACTTCCTGTAACTTGAGCATCTAGGATATCTCCCTTTTACCCAAAGATTCCAGAGAAATGTTCAAAGAGAAGTTCGCTCGTTTTAAAGACGCAAATATTTTATTCGATATTTTTAGCGTTATTAAAGTAATTGTTTAAATTCTGTTCCATGCATTTGAGGAACGTTTCGCTTTGCCATTAATTGAATCCAAGGGTACGGATTGTACGAAACGTATTCGCGAATTAAATTCGGTTGGCAAACGTACCTGCGTGTCCGAGAACAAAAAGACCATAAATTGATTCTGGACTCCAGCCTTCATCATCGTGTTTTTAATATCGTCGCGCCAGTCGTTGGTGGTGTAAGCGCCGCTAAGTTCTATTTGAAAACAATTGTAGTCCTGCATGTGTGTGGCGAGCCTCGTTAAACTTTGGCGACCTGAATCGATTGTAAACGCTATAAAGGCGTGCCATAAATTTTGGAACGACGATAGTTCGGAATTCGGTTTCTTATTTTATTCGATATTATTCCTAACATTGTTCCCTATGATTTCCCTTCTGTGTCTCCGATTCGTTCTTAATGTTACCGTTATCCTTTGATTTATCAAAAGTATAAGTTACGACTTATCGCTCCCCCGTGAAGCATTAGGGGAGAAACAGGGAGTTACAAGGAAACTCAAAGAAGATATTTTCCTGCATCACCTGATCCTCCCATCCCCAAAAGTAGGGCGTTTCCACGGGGCTGCCGTAGGATTCGATTGATCCTGCAGATATGATCTATCGCGTCTTGGAAAAGCACCAGGTTCATGGGGGACGTGGTCGACGCGTTATAATCCTCCAAAAATTCATCCAATATCTTTTCCATCTGAAGAAGCATCGATAGGTCTCGAATTGTCCGACAAAAATAGACTAGGGTTGGCCGCGAAAGGCAAGAATCAGATTTTTACATTTGAATAAAATCGGAATCGTAGTGAGGAAAATAAATACGTGCTTTCTTCGTGTCGGTTATCTGCTCGTACTGTTTGCTTAGCCCGCAAAAGTCACCGTAAAATAACACCGAGTCGCCGATCACCACTTGGGGATCGCATTGGAACGTATCCTTCATGATACTTCGCAGAAGATCGTCGAACCATTTTCGGTCGGTGTCGTTCACCAAACGATCGCTGAACACTCTCAGATTCTCGTGGTACCAAAGCAGCAACAATTTCTCTCGATGCTGGAAATATTATTATTTTGATGGTAGAAACGGTAGACGTTAAATCGAACAATGACTCGTTATCTGTTGTACAGAGATAATAATGCTCTTTCCCCTCTTGAAACAAAACAATTCTTGTGTTAAACAATTTCCCATAAAATGTAAACGAGCTCGAATGCCTGGATATTATATTATTTAGAATATCGCTGAGATATTTTGCATATATTTTACGCGCATAAATGCAGTGCAAAACAAATCTGTGCAATCTGTTCGTCGAATAAACACGCGATCGAACGTGACTTGTGTAACGCGTCTCCCGACTACCGTTATTTCTGTTCGCGTTGGCGTTCGTAAGCATCGATATTCGCACGGTATTGTTTATTTGAACTAGCACTAACTACCGTTTAGCCTTTATTGTTTGCACTAATGGGAAATTTTTATATTCGTCGCCTGTCAAATCTAACGTTTGCTTCGTTGAATTTAAAAAAAGCAGAAATTTATCTGCGCGAACCTCGATTTTCTTTGGATCCATCATGAGCATCCCTTGAAACACTTTGCTGAGATCTCGTAGATTGAACGTGTAGTGGGACTTGTCCGGTGTTGGCAGCAGCTCGTTGCATATAGTGGTGAACAAGTTCAACGTCGTGTCCACGAACGTGTTCAGCATGTCTGCGAAGCCCTTAGTCGCGGACAGCCACGAGTTCAAAATTGTCCCGAAGATGTGTTTCTGACGCGACAACAAAATACCAACAAAACTAACTCAACAAAAATAATTCTTAGGTTCATAAACAAAAAATAACGATCGTCAAGTTATTAAGGGGCCTTTTTACCTTGTGGGATTTTAGAAACCGAATTTTTTTTTTTGCGTTTTCTTTTAGAAAGTAGTCTCGAAAATATATCTACCAAATATTAAATTGAAATTCTGAAAACTAACGAAGTTATAGGCTGCTGTAATGTACCACGCGCAGGTATACAGGGTGGTCCACGCAATTGTTTCAAGTCATAACTCCGTTATTATTGCATTTACGAAAAAATGCCAAAGGAGAAAGATAAATGGTTCTAAAAAAGATCCTAGTTCATTCTGTAACCACACTCATCTATATTAAGAATATCGTTGGTTTTTGGATTTCGGATAACTTGTTCGCAAGATATCACATATGCAGTCGGGCGCCGTTCCTAAAAACTGTTGTTTGTTGATCAACAAAAACAGCGTAATCAATAGATATTATGCGTTGGAAAAATTCGTAAATATAGCTAAATATATAATAAATGTATCTACAAAACACGAAATTAATCGCTTTTTAATAGCCCGCAAAAAAAATGACAAAGAAACATGTATTTTTCGTGTCTACAAGGTAGAATGGCCCCTTAATGGTGGAAATTCGTAATGCTAAAAATATATTAATCGACCCCGAGTCTAAATTATTTAGTTTCAGTCCATTTCAGGTAACTTAAAGACACGTAACTGAGTTATAGAATTAGATCAGTGGATAGAGAAAATTACCGAAACTGGCAACTATTAATCGAATTAAGTCGATGAGTTCGTAACGAAATGACGAAGCTCGAGAGATTCTGATGGGGTAAGCGCGGTAGTTCGAGAGTTTAAGCAGTGTTTTTTTACATTATGGAGGTGGGAGGGACGTCTTGTAATTCTAGAAGGGTGCGGAACGAAATTTTCAAGGCGGAAGAACGTGAACAATTTGAACACCTTTTGGTCGAGCGATTCTCAACAAGTTTGAAAGCCACTGGTCTCGCGAATTCGCGTCGGATAGTCTTATGGGATCGTAAAGGGGAAAGTAAAATGCCGTTTAGGTTTACTAAATGAGCCGTTTATTTTGAAAGTGGCCTAACTCCATTTTTCAATTTTTTCCGGTTACCATGGTTACATGTACAACTTCATGATATTTATCAGTAAAGCATTTCAGGTTGCTTATATTCCTAGCAAATACGATAATTCTTGACACATAAGTTTTCAGAGTTAGTTCAATAATTGAACCGTGTAGTTTGAAAGCGGCCTAACTCCATTTATACTTAAATCAAGACATTTAATGTTTACATGTACGTTTGGGATGAAACTATTGCATCCAGAGGTGCTCAAGAAATTGTTTCATGCATCCTAAAACATGTTAAAAATTTAAGAAGTGAAAGACACATTATAGCTTACAGTGACATGTGCGCCGGGCAAAATAGAAACATTAAAGTAGCTTTAATGTGGTTAAAAATTATCCAAACTTTGGAAAATAATATGGAAATCATAGATCACAAATTTTTAATATCAGGACATTCGTTTTTACCAAATGATAGAGATTTTGGTGTGGTAGAAATGTTATTAAAAATAAATAATTTACTGTTCGTTCCCCGAGATTATTACAAGATTATTAAAAAGTGTCGGAAAGGTAATAATTTTATTGTAAATGAAATGAGACAAGAAGATTTTGTATCAACAAAATTATTCGAAGACGCAATTTTTAAAAGGGTAAAGAATTCTGATGGAGAATCAATAAACTGGTTAAAAATATGTTGGATGCGTTTTGTCAGAAATGAACCGTATAAAATTTTCTATAAGACATCAATGAATGAGAATGAAAATTTTAAAGTCCTGAATTTATTACCACGTCGGGATAGACCAAGAAAGTTCGAAAATATTGTATCGACACCACTGTATAAAAATATCAAACAAATTACAACAGCAAAATTCAAGGACATAACTGACCTATTACGATATATACCACCGGAACATCATGATTTCTTCAAATCCCTTTCACACGCACAAAATGTAGATGAGTAGTAAATTGTTTTGTAATAAATTTATGTTTGTAATTATGTACGTTATGTAGTTAAAAAATGTTTTGAATGGCATAAATTATGTTTCCAAAGTGTTTTAAAGATATGTAAAATAAATTCAGTATTGTTTTTTTCAATTTGAAGCATCTTAAATTATGTTGAATGGACTTGGGCACCTTCAAATTTTATAATGAATCCGGTTGTTAATTTTGAAAGTGGCCTAACTCCATTCTTGATAAGAAAACGCATATTATTCACTTAATAATTGCCACTATTTTAATAGGAACTATAAATTTAACACCCTTAGATACACTTAAGCAGTATGACTCATTAGTATCTTATATGTATATTTTTAAATTCATTGAAACGCAAACCTTTAAATATCTCGATTTGAAGATAAATGGATTTAGGTCACTTTCAAAATAAACGGCTCAAATATTTTATTCTTACTATGCGCTGCGATGGTTCGCTCTAGTCTGGCGCGATGTGCCACACATTCACTCATACATACATTCGGGCATTCAATTGTTTTTCACGCTCACTCACGTTTTCACTCATCCTTGTCGCTCGGCCAGGAGGCTAGCGGAAGTCTCTTTCTTACTTGTCGCCGGCCGCTACAGTCTATTTAGCTGCAATGGAGAAGCGCGCGTATTTGTGGGCGGGTGAAACCATGCATTTAATAAAAAAAAGGCAGTCGAGAGGCAACCGAGGAGGAAAGGACGCGTGAAAATGTACCCGGGAAACGAGAATTGCGATGTTGGTCAGTCTCCCGGTAATATTTTATTACGGAATAGTAGTTACTCTCTGTTATCTTTCGCCCTTGTCTCTTTCCCTTAATGTGCGCTCAACTAGTGCCATGTACGGGGCGATTCATAAATACGTATCCATGTTGAGTGAATTTATACCCTAATAAAAGTACGAACGTTAGCGATATTAGCTAATATTTCGACTGTATGACTGTGAAAATCCAGTTGAAAAGACTGCATGAAATTTAAATTCGATTGTTAGCTCGAGTAACAATGAATAAAAAAGTAATTTAATTATCATCGTCCGTTTGAAAATCGTGCCGTAGATAGACTGTATTATTAAATACGCATTTGATGAAGCCATTTTAATTTTCGACCGTTGTTTCCATCCCTTTGACGAATTTGTTGTGTTTATAGGGATAATCCGTATATCAGCTTCGCAGTTTCCGCGCTTTTCCAACTCGCGCTTTTATTCAATCGGCATTCCCTTCTACTGCGAAAGGCCGGAACGCGTGTACGCGAGGATCCCGCGTTTGAAATATTCCGTAATTTGAATTTTTCGACGAACAGGGCGGAAAAATTCCACCGAAGGGCCACGGACGTCGCGAGTACAGTTTCCAAGGCTTAAACGGTCGCTTGCCCTCCGATCGACCTTACCTGAAACCCTTTAAAACGCACACGCGATCGAGGACCAGGGGGAGAGGGGAGGGGGGGGGGTAAAAAGAGATCCCCGCGACGGTGGGTACATAGGGATAGTTACGGTTCCTCGTTACTGGCCGACCAGGTGATTAAGATAAATTATGGCAGAACGCCTGACACGATTTACGAGACTTAATTGCACCAAGCACTGGGCAGGAGGGCAAACAGCGTTGGTGGTCCGTCATTTTCACGAACTCCAATTACTTTACGTGGGCGTGGATCGACGACTCGATGGAATAAAACTCGACGAACAAGGGTGGAAAATGTCGGAGTGGTTTAATCTCCGACGAAGCTTCTTTTGCCCTCGTGCACCGGACGTTGGGTCATTTTGATCGAGTCGACGTTCTCGAAATTTATTCAAACTAGACCAAAATACAGAATTCTACTCGCATCTTGTCCTTAAAGGGTCTTTCTACATTATGGGATTTAAAAAATCGAATTTTTTTGTTTGCATTTTCTTTTATAATATTCAATTGAAATTTGAAAAACTAACGAAGTTATAGTCTGCTGAAATGTACCGAGCGCAGGTATAACAACTGCACGTGAAACTTTAAAGCTGTTTTTCTCGAAACTACATTTTTTGGAACTGCGTATGTGATAACGAAAAAACTATTCAAGATATCAACATGAAATTTATAAAGTATCTTTAGAACTGGTGTCCCTATAGTATGAACTAGGATAATTGCGATATATACAATACTTTTTCTTTTATTAACAAAAAAGCAACCGAATATATGAAAATATTCAGTATTTTTTCGTAAAATAACTGCAATTTTACCATTTTTTGTTTTTTTGAAAAGATCCTAGTTCATGCTATAACCACACTCATCTATATTAAGAATATCGTTGGTTTTTGGATTTCGGATAACTTATTTGCAAGATATCACATACGCAGTCGGGCGCCGCTCGTAAAAATTCTTGTCTTTTGATCAACAAAAACAGCGTAATTAATAGATATTATGCGTTGCAAAAATTCGTAAATATAGCTAAATATATAATAAATGTATCTACAAAACCCGGAATTAATCGCTCTTTAATAGCCCACAAAAAAAATCACAAAGGAACATGTATTTTTCGTGCCTACAAGGTAGAATGGCCCCTTAAGCGTTCAATCTAGCGAGCAAAGTCGTTAAATAACGGATAAAAAGCCGGCAGAATAATTGCCCGGTCGAAATAAATAAATATGTTTACCGGGGATGGGTAATAAAAAAAGTTGCCACTTCTTTTAATATAAAGTTGCGAATTAAAATTTAACGTCAAGTTAAAAAAAGTGAATTTTATCTTTACCCGTCGACCGCAAAAGGTACGAAAAGTGATTTCGGTTACGCCGTAAAAGGAAATAATAAAACTCCCGGTTTCCGCGCGACCACGAAAGGACACTTCGGCTTCATTGTCGGCGCCGCGGTGAATTTATTCGAACACTCTTCACCGACCGGACGTTTTTCTCTCGGAAGAGTAGCGACTGTGAATAGTTGAACTCGTAGCCAGATCCAGGGAATTGCCAAGATCAACCCCCGTCGTACGATCGGCGACAAAAATTTGTAAACATCGAACTACGAATTACGATTCTTTGGTATCGCCAAAACGGGTCGATTTAAATGGGTCACCGTGTCTATAAATTTTGATTTTAAATAATTATCTATTTGTACTTGAAGAACATTCATGGTAGACAATATTTAAGGACGAAAATATATCGTGCTCGAATTATTTGACTCGTTTATATTTTGGCGAGTGTACGGCGGGAGTTCTGTATTTAATGGATTAATTGCATCCTGTCTTTCAAAGCGGTGCAGTCGGGCGATCGAAGAATAGTTGAACAATTACCTTGGCGTCGTCCTCCATTTCCGGGAACGCAACGAAATGGAAATGTCGCAACAGTCTAGCGGTTACTGGATTTCTACCGCCACCCGGTGGTCCCATCGCCCCCACGAAATTTACGTCCTCGATTTGTCTGAACGATCCGATCTCCTTCAAGTCGTACCACCCTGAAACGTGTGTCGTTCATTCTGTTTACCCCCGTCACACACTCACAGAATTCCACTCCTCCTTCTTTGTCGTCGTTGTTAGAACATCGGTCTCCCTTAACGAGACCCTCTACCTTTCGATAGAACTTTTTATAGGAAGGGCCAAAAGGTCGTCCTGGATTTCAAAATACTTATACAGGGTGTTCAGGGTACAGAAAATTTGAATCGACACCCCGTAACGTATGCGTTGTTTTTCGAATATCATATTCCCGTTACGATCTATAAATATTTCATTATTAAGCGGGTCGTTCGTCTTCGTAAACGTTAATTAAACGTCAATTCATAGCTAGACGCGTTTCTTCTTTGGGCGAGGCAATTTAATCGAGTTTTAAGAGTACTCGCTCACCTCGAAAATCCATAAATTGACGAATCAATTCGATAGGTGGCTGAGCACCGTACGTATCGAGGGCGGGCATGTTCAAGTCGTCGACGAAGAAAACTTGTTTCCTTAAGAGCGGCGGCCCATAAACGTCCCTGCGTCTCTTGATTAACTTTTCGTCGATCAGATCCTTTTTTCGCGGGAAAACGTAAACATTTTAATCCCGATAAACGCGAGTGGCCAGGCGTGGAAAAACTGCCAAGCGTGTACGGTTTACTTATCCCCTGCTTTAATTAATTCGCAAAAATTTTAATTATATTATGATCTCAAAATTCCGTTTGATCTATTTGATCTTAGAATTTCATTTTCAACGAATTATCGAGTCGATGTTTGGTTTTGGTTTTCAATTCGTCCCGACAGTTTCCGCAAAAAGACTCTAAAATGTTTACACAAACAAACATTTCTGCAGCAGAGTACATGGCGCACCTGGGTTTGATTGGATGTGGTTCGGGCGGAAAACGTAATAAAATCGCAAATGAATCTCTTGGGCATGTCCCTCGATAATTTGCCGGACACGGTTAAGGTTTTTCCACTTCCGGTTGGTCCAACGCACAGCACGTTCGAATCGTTGATCAGCAAATAACCCATCAGTGTCGCGCTTCTGACGCTGTCCATCGTTGGTACTTCGATGTCTATAATGATCGTTTAATTTTAACGGATAAAAAATATCAGAGTTATTCTTTTCCAAGAAAATTATATAGAAATTACGTATTGCAACGTCCACCGATTCCCTAACGTCGTTTCAGCATCGTTATTCCGGGCTAGTGAACGTTTAATAAACGGATGTCCATCGACGCGTGCACTTTGTATCTTTTGCGTGGAAAATTTACCTGCGTATCTCGTGTCCGGCGTAATCGTGATCGACGGAATATCGTCCAACCATTTCTCCCATCTGGGTGGAACGGGTTCCTGACTGTCGATCGAATCGGTAAAACCACCGTCGTGTAGCCTGGAACAGACGCCACTCTTAGAACAAAGACGAAACACCGATCGACGATTTGATCACCTGTAATCGAATACCAAACCGTCGTCTGGGAACGGTAAATCGTGTTGATGGGTTTTTTGCATTCCTTTGATCCACTCGCTGAATATTCGACGACTATTGTAATCGCTGCTCCCTCCCACGCTCCAAACTGTCGCGAAAGCAGCCCACGGCGAAAGCAAGTTGGCTGGAACGAATGGACTGACGATAGAAATTTATTTTGGTACAAACGTATAGCTGTTTTGTTTAAAAAAAGCTCGAAATAATTAGCGATCGGACGGTGGGAGTTGTATTCGAACGTTGATGAAGAATACAGCTCGGAATACGGATGAATGGCGGAGGGGATAGATATAGTTGGAAACGAGTGGAATGTGTGTCAATTGCATAGTAAGAGGAGTTATTGAGGATGAAATTATATAGATAGGGTAGCAAACGAGTGGGTTGTATTTCGTGCCGGATAGAGCAGAAATGGAAAATTCGCCTCCATTAGACGCCCAGTCAGTATGACCTTACGAATTGAGGGGAGATGCGATCAAATTTACGCGAACAATAGAAGACAATTGGAATGTCCACTGTTATTTAAGATTGTTTCTCGTTTTATAAACGGTTTATGTACCCCCATCCGCGCGTGAAACTTTATAATTTTCTTCGTAAAGTCTCTAGAAATTTCTTTGTACCTTAGAATTAGTTTTAATATTCTTTACAATGTTCGGTAATGTTTATCCACTATCTGTTTGATTCTCCCGAAGTTGATGAAATGTAGAGTACAATCATTAGCTATCGAGCTAGCTAAGTTAAGTTTCGAACAATGCGACAACCAAGTATGGTTTCAGTAGTAAATGTAGTCCATTTCGGAGACAGTAGTCCAGCTTACGTGTGGTGCGTCTCAAACGCAACTAATTATAGGGTTTCTTGGTTTCGTCGATGTGAAATTCATGTCAAATCTGCGTGTTGCTATTTTCGATATCGTATTTTCTAATATCGGTAACTTTGGAATAAAATTAAATTCTTTCGTAGCTTTTGGACGATACCAGAAAATTTTCATACACTTTTGTCCCTCGATCTTAAACTTTCAACGCTTCTAACTTTTCGATTTGTTCATTTTTATTTGGACAATCGGTGTTGGAAAGGTTGCAGTATTTTATATTCTATCGTGCTCGAGGTGACGCTGGTTCTCGAGAATAAAATTTGATTCTTACGAATGAGCTCTTGAAAAGCGGCGGCCGGTGGAGGTTTTCCTTCGCGACCAGCCATTGGGCCGATACGAAAGTTCATCAGATTTATGTAGGATTGCACCATTCCGCAATCCACGGTGCTGACGATCTCTCGTAAGCTGTTACGTAGAACCTTCAGGCCCGGAAGTAAATAGTGACCCGTCAATTCGTCGATTCTGTCCACGTGATTGCTCATGTTCTGCAATCGATAAGAATTAAACTGCATCGTATCATCGTTCGATTCTAAAAATATTTTATCTACCCGGGGAAAATGTTCAATGCGATTTAACTATAATGCGAGCACCTTTGCATTTTCAATTTATGAATAATTTTCTGAAGAACAGCGATAAATTTTAATTAAATTACCATATTTATGAGAAATTCAATTTCTATTAGCCGTGACGTTTCATTTAATAAAAGTACGTCGATCAAATGGATTAAAAGGGAACGACGAAATAAACGCGGAACGTTCTCTATTTAGAAAACTAAACCGAATAAGTGAAGTCGAATCAAACTCTGCAACGTCTCTATTGACTCGGGGGGGGGAACAAATTACATTTAGTTCTACGCGGGAAGCTTGGAATTTAATATTAAAAAATCGATAAAAAAGAACTCGATTATTCGTTTAAAAAACACGAGGATTCCTTAATTTGTTTAAAAAGGGGAAACTTATTTTTTTGTTCGAACGCTGACAAAAAATTTGAAAAATCACGCCAAGATTAATCCCATATTGCAGTCGGGTTATTCATTCCCTTGATCCGGCTCGTTGAGCGAGTCTGACTTTGGTCGCTGTTATTTATCAAAGTTTTTAACGTTCGGATTGCCCTGGCATCGATTTGTAAAATATTCACCCGAGGCAGGGATTTCAGCCAGCAATTAATTATCGGTTCGAGGCCCAGACCCTCTGGTTCCAAGTACACCATACCGCATCTGAACGAGATAAAAATGAATGCAATTAGCTTCGTCATTACCCGTATGTTACAGTGCGTTGTTCAGACGTTGCTCTCTATCGTTTATTTGCCGTTTAACGATCGTTCAAGAGCGCTACATCTACCTGGAGACCGTGGCTGGCGAGGCAACCCTCAGATCAGCGACTTCGAACATCATCGTCATCGTCGGTAGAATTTTCATTATTTCGCCGGACGTTAAACAGAGTTTCTTGTTGTCGTCCAGCACAGTGTTCATATTTTCGATCCACACAGCGTCCACAGGCCCGTCGAACACGTACCAGCGTCTATTGTCGTCGTCCACAGCTATCCCAGCCCTCAAAAGCGTCGAGAAAATACCGTCGGTCCTGAAAAATAGAACAGAATATTAGAATACGATCCCAGCAATCGTTCGAGGGGAAATTAAACGTCCTCTCGCTCGAAACAACTTTTATTTCACACGGGAGAAGCAGCATATTATTTTTAATGATTTTTTTATTGATCGATTCGATACTTCCCCCTCCCTCCTGAACTTAATCTTTCCGGGGTTAATGCTTGTGATCTGATACGGAGTGTCAACGCGTTTAGTGCCACTCTAATTTAAGATTTTAACGTGCTATCTTGGTTGACAAACGATAACAATGCCATGAGATTAGGTTAATAATAGCACAGGATTAGGGTTATAAACGGCGCGCAGCTGTACCATGATTTTGCATCGTGCGCGTATCATATTTTATAGGTACATGTTGGTTTTTCTGTTCTAAAAGAGAAAATTTTCTTTCCGTGACAAAAACCATCGACGCGTACGTTACGTTTCGCGTTTCGAGATACAAGTCAAGAGGGTGCAGCTGTGTCCCTTCCTTGGCTTGTTTAGACAAAGTACTACTGTGTTAAAAAAATAAGCTGACATTTGTTATAAAATGAAAAATCTTTATTTATTCTTTCAAATCATTTTTCCATTCCTCGAAACAGCTGAAAAAGTCCTCTTCTGGAATGGCCTTCAAAGCGCGCAGCGATTCATGTTGAATCTCTTCAATAGTCTCAAAGCGGTGTCCCCGTAGTGATCTTTTGAGTTTACTGAATAGCCAGAAGTCGCATGGTGCTAAATCAGGCGAATACGCAGCCTGTGGAACGATATGAGTTGAATTTTTGCCCAAATGATCACGAATAATCAAATGCAGTGTGAGACGGCGCGTTATCATGGTGCAAAAACCAACAGTTGCTTCGCCACAATTCCGGCCTCTTTTTGCGAATAGCTTCACGTAAACGACGCATAACACTTAATTAGTATTCCTTATTAACAGTTTGGCCCGGCGGGAGGATTTCATGGTGTACCACACCACGATAAACGAAAAAAACTGTTAACATGACTTTGACTTTTGAACGACGTTGGCGCGATTTTTTCGGTCTTTCTTCACCTTTAGCACGATACTCGCTCGATTGGTCAGCTGTTTCCGGGTCGTAGGCATAGATCCAAGTCTCATCTCCCGTAATGATGCGTTTCATGACTGGTTCATAGTCGGAAATCATCTCTTTACAGATGTTAATATGACGCTCTTCTTCGAACAAATTCAGTGCTTTCGGTACCAATCGAGACTCGACACGTTTCAAGCCCAAAACACCTTTCACAATGGTATTCACTGACCCTTTTGAAATGCCAACAGTGTCTGAAAGGTCTCTTATTGTCGGTCGATGATTCTGTAGCACTAGTTTTTTTATTTCATCGACGTGGCTTTGATCAGTAGATGTTGATGGCCGTTCCTTGGCGCTCTATGTCTTCAACGCTTTCTCGGCCATCTTGAAACTCTTTGTACCACTTATAAACATTTTTTTTCGACATAGCCTGGTCGCCAAAGACTTTTCGCAGCATTTCCAAAGTATCCGCGGCAGAATATTCATTCCGCAAACAAAATTTAATGCAAACTCTTTGCTCAACAAAAATATTCATTATGAAAATCGCCTAATGCACTTTTACTGTTGTGGATAAACAAGCGTATCTCAAAAACAACTGAAGATAATGACGTGAAATTTAAAATAGATGACAGTAACAGAGCTACCAAGCTACAGAAAAAAGTTTATCAGTTTGGATAAAGCCGCGAAGTTTAAATTGAAAAGTCACCTTACTTTTCGGGCACAGTAGTATAGGACCGATTGGGTCTGAGGGAATTCTTCGTCACTGACCTCTTCATTCTGTATGTTTATTTCAAACCGTGCAGACGTGCCCTCCAAGTGTTTCTAATAAAGTTTAATTAGAAGTTATATCGTTCAAATTGTTTTTTTATTCCACCACCTATTTTATTTGAGTATTCTTTCATAGAGAAGATTTTGAAGATTTAATTGTCCAGCTTCATACAGGAATTGGGGGGTACATTACAGCATTAGGTCACTTTTTCACTAGACTTAATTAGGGGGGTCGTTAATATCAATTTCCTTGCAGCTGGCTCCAACAGGAGTTTGCCGATCATCATGATATACGAATGTATTCCTTCAGTTCCTTCGTTAGAGGTGTCAGAACCATCATCAATAATTCGCTTCTAATTCCCGTTGATCAGCTAAACCAACACGGTATGTATACACATTCGGAAGCGTCTAACAACGTTAATTGAACGAATGCTGGGCGGGAAAGCCTCTAGGATTTCGATGCGTGGCCCATCGATGGAAGCATAATGATTAATGTTTCCTTGGAAATGTAGATAATCAATGAAACATAGGTTTCCATTAAAGTCGAGCAAAAGTTATTCCGTTGCTGGATTTTCGATAACCGCGTCCACCAGCCATCGTCATGGCAATTATTTTTAATTATCGTTGCGAGTGAATTCGTATAAGCCGTCTCAAAGGCCCCGGACGATAACTAGATCCGTCTTACTCGCATAATGAGATCCGCTTATTACGTAGTTAGGTTTGAGTTTGAACGCAACTGCAAGAACAAGGATAATTTTGATTACGCGACCGCGATAACTCTAAATTATCATTGCAACATCGATGTTCTGATCTTATTAGCTGACAGTATACTTTCTCTCTTAATTTTACAAGAAAAGAACAGAGTTTGATATGTAAATATTATTAATTCGCTCACCATTCACGCGTATTCAGATCGTATTCACCGTAGAGCTGTCCCATAGTGATCGATTTCGGATTCAACACGTAAGTGTACACCGTCGTGAATGGTCTGCCGCTAGGTTGCAGCTTGCCCCTCAATTTCGTAAAGGCTTCTTTCAAAACTTGATAGCACTGCGTGGAAAAAAGATATTTCAGAACGTAATGTAAAAAATCCCAATATCGAATGGAATATTTAAAACAAATAAAAAAAGCAAAATTTTCCAACATCGTCAGTTCCATTGTTCTCTACGTCCCACATATGATTTTTAAGGATATTTTTGCTGATCGTCGAATACGCGTAAGGATTTCACAACGGTTGCTGGATGAAAAAGTGGGTTTCTGTTTCGCAACGTGTTTCGATTCATCTTGATTAGTTTCGTGGCGATTGTCCGACTTCGACGTAGAAAAATTTCAAGACGTCAACGATGAACGTGTTGCGTAAAATTTCTGGCTTCGAAGACCGATATGGTCAGGGGACAAACGACAAAATACCTTATGGTTTTTTATATATTATCAATCATCATTGGAACGAATAACTTTCAAAACCCATAGATAATTCATTTTTTTACACTCAATTTTACAGGGATTGCGTTATAAAAATAACACAAAGTATGAAATTATTTTGGTCTCCGCAACGTTACATTTTTCAAACGAACAATGGACTAAAACCTTCGGAAGCTCGGTTAGGATTAGGAGGATGCCCTCCGCGATGAAAGGTCAAGGTCGTCTGCTTTCCCTATATCGTGTAATTACTCATATTTTTCCTGTACCACGTGGATTATTTACCGATCCGTGTAGTCTTGTCGCGATATTCAAGGAAAATGAAACCGTAACGAACACGAACAAACTCCGGACAATTTATCCAAAACAAAATTAATAAATGTAGCGTTGTATTACCACGTGGACACGTAGTCATATCGCGTAATGCGAAGCACGACGCCGCTGCTAACGATCAGGCTTCTCCGTCGCGACATTAAACGTCATTCGCGAAGGTCATTTTTCAAGGACGACCTCGAAGAAATTTTTCCTCGCCGCCCGATCGAATTTTCGTTTTATTTAGACGCGTCGATAGTTTCCGATCCGAAAGGGTTTCTTTCGCTACCGCGAGACCCGAAACCCAAAACCCGCTTATTTTCGACCATTTTCTAAATCACTGAACAACGCTGATTCGCGTTTCGGTCCATTGCATTGACGTTTCCCAGTAACGTACTCCCGCAAAATATTCCGCTGAATCTGCAAGTGAAACGAGTCGGTGTATCATGAAACAGCTACTTACGAACGACGCGAACGTTTTCAAAATTGAAAGAAGAATAAAGGAACGGAATTGCGTTCCCGATGATGAAAGCGCTCGCATTTCTATTCGTTTGGATAGCAATAATCATGCGAACGTTCGAGTATTTGTAGTCTTCTGTCGCGTAACGATCTTATGATTGTAGCTCTTTTCTTCAATCTCGGTCGGAAAGAACCGATTCGTTGGAACTAGAGGATAGCAGATTTCCGCGAAAGTATGGACTGTGATTCCAGTAGAAAAATCTGATTTTCTCCATAGCTGAAATACTTAGAGCGTTCAATCTGATTCGTCTTAACCCCTTCTACCACTCTAGTATTATATTTAATGCTATGCCACTGGTTCGTAGTCATCTTGTTCTGCATACTGTCGTCGTACAATTAAATTCCAGGCTCTGTTCTTCTATATGGGGTGAGTACTGGAGTTGAAGAGTCCTTTTTCCTAGCGCAGATATAATTAACAGAGATGAATACGTCACGATACTTCACGATACATGTCTTTAATATTGTTAAAGATTCGATTTAACTTTTTTCTTTGCGAATTTGTTGTATTTCGCTTAGAAGAGAGCCACAGCTTATCACATTTTTCAAAATCACCCTATATGTATAGGGCGTTCGGCCACTCCTGGGAAACATTTTAATGGGAGATTCTAAAGACCCAAATAAGACGAAAATCAAGAATACCAATTTGTTGATGGAGGTTTCGTTAAAAAGTTATTAACAATTAAATTCATAAATTTCAAATCGTTCTGAAAAAATTATTTTCGGTTGCTGGGGTCAATTACAATCATTTTTGGTCATTACACATACACCCCAAATCCTACGCACTTACGAGAAAAAAAATTCTTTACTGAAAATCTAATTACGTGCCTAAATTTTTCGACGAAAAAAAAGATTTCAAATCGTTCTGGAAAAATTATTTTCGGTTGCGGGGGTTAATTAGAATCATTTTTTGTGAATAGACATACCCCCGAAATTTTGCGCATTTTCCAGAATAAAATTCAGTACGGGCGGAACTTTACACGTTAATAACTTTTTAACGAAACCTCCATGTACAAATTAGTATTCTTGATTTTCGTCTTATTTTTTCATCTAGAATCCCCCATTAAAATTTTTCCCAGGGGTGGCCGAACACCCTGTATATTCTCATGATATTATAATTCAAGAAAAACATAGTAATTCCATCTACTTCACGACTAATTGAAATTGCAATATCCATAAACCAGTTCAGTATTAAAAGGAGAAAATTCCTTCAGAATATTGATCGGTAATATGAAATTGGAATACCAATAGATTGTGAATTTTTTACAAATAATATAAATGTGATGTAATTATTACAAATGCAGAAGTTTACTGAAAATGCAGTTCACAAAGAAAAATACCAGTATAAATAAATGGAAATACAGAAATGTTTGTTTAAATTGCATTCGTTCGTCATGTTTGAGCACAAAGAAAGAATTTAAGTACAGTACAATGTATCAACGACAGAGGGATTATTTTCAAGGAAAAGATTTCGGTTAGGAAGATTTGAAAAATTTCATGGCACGTGGAAAAATAAATTTGAAATCTTAAGAACAAAATCCAAAGAGCAAGATGTAGCAGGTTTTCCAAATTTCATACGACGGAAAGCTTATTTTTGCGGAGTATCTTCAAACAGAGGGCAAAAATAGAGGACAGAAATTGATGGTTAAAGGAAGACGTAGGGAATTTCGAAAAGGGGAGCAAATATTTGTTAAACAAGGACGAGAGGGTGTATGCGATACGTGATTGTACATTCGGTACGCTGCAACATTTTCTGGAATGGAGTATAAGAGGATAACAAATAATGAGACAGAAGGTTCTGAAACATGGTATCCATATTATAAATGTAAAATTCGAAATTTGTGTCATATTCTTTAGCTGATTTAAATACAGTGGAATCTCGCTTAACGAGCATCTCGCAAAACAAGTAATTCGCATAACGAGCAATACAAATTGTAAAAAAATGACTCGCTTAACGAGCGACATTTCGCATAACGAGTGACGTGGATAGGGGAATCCCCGAATTGTGCGATGGAACTTTTCGTGCCATTGCTACATCAGTCTGTTTAGAACTTGTTGCGCTAGCATCTTAATGTCGCGTATGATCACACATTTTTCCAAACTTGTGTTCAGACATTATTTGTGATTTTTTGTGCAATGATTAATAACTCTTGTAAAAATGTCCCCGAATAAAAAGGTGCAAGAGAGCACCTTGTATAAGAGACTAAAAATAACCTTAAAAATGAAACGTGAAATCATTGAAAAACGAAAACGAGGTGTGAGAATGGCTGATTCAGTACGCACATACAATCGGTCTACATCAACCATTTGCACTATTCTCAAGAACAAGGACAAGATTATGTAGGTAGATGCTTCAAAGGTAGTGGCAAGAATATCTACGCAAAGGTTACGCATTCTCGACGATGTTGAAAAGTTGCTGCTCATATGGATAAACGAAAAGCAATTGCAAGGCGACACTATTAACGAAAGCATAATTTGTGAGAAGGCGAAAGTGATTTCCGCCGGCCTCGATAAGAAGACGCCAGGATCATCAACGGCCGGAGAAGAAGTACAATTTAAGGCAAGTCGTGGATGGTTTGAGAAGTTTAAGAGAGGAACAGGTATCCACAGCGTCGTGAGGCACGGCGAAGCAGCAAGCTCCGACACAAAGGCAGCAGAGAACTTCATTGCCGACTTCAAGAAGCTCGTAGATTCTGAGGGTTATCTGCCGCAACAAGTTTTCTATTGTGACGAGACGGGTCTTCTGGTAAAACATGCCGAATTGAACATATATAACAGCAGAAGAGAATGCATTGCCCGGGCACAAGCCAATGAAAGACCGCCTCACGCTGCTATTTTGTACCAATGCAACCGGTGATTTGAAAATTAAACCGCTACTTGTATACCATTCAGAAACTCCACGAGCATTCAAGAAGTGTAAAGTTCAGAAGAGCAAGCTAAATGTGATGTGGAGATCCAACAAGAAGGCCCTCTGAGAAAAAATATTTGCTTGAGATGAATCTTCCATTCCATGTCTTGCTTGTTATTGACAACGCACCTGCTCATCCTCCAAGCCTACAAAATGACCTCCTTGAAGAATACAATTTCATCACGATCCAGTTTCTGCCTCCCAACACAACTCCGTTACTCCAGCCAATGGACCAGCAGGTTATTTCTAATTTTACGAAGCTCTATATTAAAGCACTCTTTGAGCGTTGTTTTGAGGTGACTGAAGGGACCAATCTCACTCTTACAGAGTTTTGGAAATATCACTTCCACATTGTTGCCTGCCTCAAGATGATCGAAAAGGCGCGGGAAGGAGTTACCAAGAGAACTCTCTCTTCTGCTTGGAAGAAGCTTTGGCCAGAGAGCGTTGTCGAATGTGACGTTGTAGGGTTTGAGACATTGTAGTATCTGAGGACCCTGTATTCAATGAGATTGTCTCTGTCCAATATGTTGGGGCTGGAGGTGGATCACAACGATATCGATGAGCTTATAGAAGAGCACAGTCAAGAGCTGACCATTAAAAAGCTTATGGAGTTGCATTGTGCTTCACAGCAAGCAGGTGTGGAGGAGGAGGAGGTAACAACAAAGCAACAATCTTCTGGCGAAATAAGAGAAATGCTGAAAGCATGGGAATGTGTTGCTTCAAATTTATTCAATGATAATGCAGTGTCACATTTTTACCAAATTTTGAAGCGTCGGCAAAAACAAATGTCTCTAGACAGCTTTCTAGTAAAAAGAAATTAGGTATGTTACTAAGAAAAGATAACGATGAATCACGCTTATTAACAATTTATATGTATTTTTCTTTGAATAAATGTTACACATAACGTTTTTCTTCAAGCACTTTTTTGAAAATTTCAAATTTCGAGTATTTTTTTCGGCATAGAACGCATTATCGTATTTTACATCAATTTATATGGTAAACATTGTTTCGCTTAACGAGCGTTTCGCGTTACGAGTAAGACTCCGGAACGAATTATGCTCGTTATGCGAGGTTCCACTGTACTAAAAGTCACAACTTAAATTTCGATCGATTACTTCTATTTTCTTGATCTATTTATGACAATAATTTCATGGACTCAAAGGATCAGTCCATTTCATGGACTCAAAGATTAACAGATCCAAACTGCTCGTCGGTGTCAGTGAGAAAATCCGGTTGATTTTTTGGATGAATCGGGCGTAGATTGACCGATGACAGAATGGATGAATGACTCGACGGTCGGCGTCGGCGTCGCCGGCGTCGAGGGAGCTTTCAAAGCGCATGCGATGGAACTCGCCGGGCGGCAAACGCGTTCAACGCCGTGGACTGGGACTCCAGTTTATTCGACGTCGTTTTCCGTCGCGCGACGCTCTGATTTCGCTTTCAACCAGCTTCGCGATTTTCGAAATCGAATAACAAAGTCGTCCGTAAAACTCGAGTTCAGTGATCGGAAACGAAACGCGAGCGACAGGAATTATTGTTCACGAGGCATTCTTCAAATTAACAAACGAGAAGAAAGTGACTGTGCAACGAGTGACAAGCGATTCAAAAGAACCGCGTCGATCGTTCTTTGTTCGCCGGACAGAAATAAAAAGAAAGTCACAGCGAAGGAATCTCATCTTCCCAACATCATGGTTTCCGTTCGAGACAATTTTTAAACTCACCAACGACGGTGGATATTTCTTACGTTCGTAATTGTTTACAGAGTGGGTGGAACAATTTTTAAACAGCCCCCGGGAACGATAACAAACATTCATCGCGGTAGCGCTATTTAGAAAACATACCCAGCGATTTAAAAGCGGAGGAATTTATCGTTCACGGAGTGTAAGAGACAATTTTAAAGAAAGGTGATAAATAGTCTAGACAAGCGATGTAATGGTTCGTTCGGGGCATAAGACAATATTCAAACAGCTGTCGAACGACAGATGTTGAAAGCTTCCCACCCGACGAAGACAATATTTCGAAGATCGTTCGAAAAACGTTGAACAGCTGTAACATCGTCGTCGATCGCTGGGCCCAAAGACCTTTGAGTACGCATATACGGTGTATCGGTTAAACGATGAATGACGCGACAAGCGAAGTTTCCGCGCGCGAGAATCGAGAGTAGTCTAGAAACGAAGCGGAGTCGATGAACCCGCAACCGAGCTCCGGGATCGCGTATCGTATTTTCGACCTTGTTCTCCGTTCCGCGGCTGGAAGATTTATAGATCGACGCAGGCGTACCGCCAAGGCCGCGGTCGAGGATTAAGATTCCCGCGCAGCGATTCGGAAGACAGGCTTTTGATACGACGGTAATCGGCCGGAAGCATGGAAGGGCCCTCGAACGGGCGCGACAGCGGCCGCTGTGGATCCAACAACACGTAAATGCTCGATCCTCGGTGCATTCTGAAATAAAATTCGAAAACCGAACGTTTCCGGGTGGATTCCGCTAAAGACCAGCTTCCAAACCTAAAGAAATTGAAATTGTGAACCTTACAAAGCAGCTTTCAACATCGAAAATCTTATGCAACCATAACACTGGAAAACTTCGAAACGATCCGGAAGAACTGTCGAACAAAGTGCACGAAGAATGAGTTCTAATCTCCAAACGGAAATCACCGAAGAAATAAGAAATTTCTGGATCGAGTGCGTGCGCCTATCCGGTCGATCTTCGAGTTTATCTTTCGTACGAACGGTGTAACGATAAATCGTAGATGTATTTGTTGCTCCTAGGCGTCGAGGGATAGAACCACAGGCGTTTTACGAGTGTCGGAACCTTGAGACCGATAACTGCTCCTCGAGAACTCGAAACCGGGCTGGGAACTGGAGTACGGAGGACAATCGATCACGGAGAGTTTAACGTGCACGGTACATCGAGAGACTTTAAAGCACTCGACTGGATCGAAGGGCCCCTCGTAATTCAATTTAAGAAATTTCACGATTCATCCTCGTCGAGATACGCCATCTAATTGGTAACCCAAATCTTCGAGGAATAATCTAAGGGAGACGAGTGTGAATAGTGCAACCAGTGTAGCGTGCTCATCGAAACTTTTGAACTCGCCGTCCACAGTTGGTCCACGCCCACGGTAACTTTGACGATCGGGTCAAGGTCCATCCATTGAATTATCCTTGACGTCTAATTGGTAATCCTGACGATTGATAAATAATTCTATATAGGGATCAGCGTGGGCAGTGTAACAAACTTTGTGCCCTCTAGCCGCGTCTGATCGACAGCCGACGCTCGTCGACGAATAATCAAAAGACTCCGTCGCCATCGATCGTTCCTGAACTTAATAGAAACATACGCCGCCTCGTCTAGGCAATTTGTGGCCAATTACATAGTTCTTTGCCCACCAGAGGACCGTCGATCGAGAATCATGCGAGTCACCGGTGGACGTCGATACTTTCCGAACGAATCAAACGTTCGAGATTCAACCGGATACGTCGAACGAAGTTCCTAGGAAACGTCGTCGCTTCTACTGTAATTAGCTGCATCGCCTGGCGAACTAACTTTGATCGAAAATTACGCAGCCCCGCCGTAAACGAGTTTCCACGAAACTTCAGGACGAGCTTCGCGGATCAACCATCGTCGTATTATCTCGTCACGCGCGAAAGGGCGACTCGATTCGATTTCTTCCCTCCGCCTCCAGCGAGAAGACAATGTTCTCCGTGACGTCGACGTTCAACTTGAATGCGAGGTGCGAGGAGGAGTCGTCGACCATGGACGTCTCGACACGAGTCAGACGGTTCGTGTCCCCGACGGTGCTGATGAACCAGACCCACTACGGGTACAGGAACCGCAGCTACGACCCGATTCTGGACATCGAGGAGAAGCCGATAGAGGCTTGTCATTCGTTGTACTTCCTCCTGGACTTCTTCCATCAGTACTACATCCCCTCGATCATCCTGCTGGGCTTGGTGGGCAACCTGCTTTCCTGCATAGTCTTCCTGAACACGCACCTGAGGATACGCAGCTCCAGCTACTACCTGGCCGCCCTGGCCACCGCTGACTTCGGTTTCCTGGTCACGTTGCTTCTGGTGTGGCTGAACAACACTCTGGGATGGAAGGTGTTCAACAAGGACGGCTGGTGCGAGACCCTGGTCTACGTGAGCGCTGTCTGCAGCTCCCTGAGCGTTTGGCTGATCGTCGCTTTCACCATCGAGAGGTTCATAGCGGTTCAATACCCGTTGCACCGACCCCACATGTGCACCATCGCCAGGGCGAAGGCGATCGTGCTGGTGCTGGTGATCCTGGCTCTGGTCAGCCACTCTTACTCCTTCGTTACCGCCGGTGTCGTTCCCAACAAGGACGGCGAGGAGTACTGCGACCTGAAGGTCGAGTACCTGGAGACGATGAAGATCATCAGCATCATAGACAGCATAGCCAGCCTGATCGCCCCGCTCGTTCTGATCATCGTGATGAACACCATGATCATGAGGAATTTATTGAAGTTCAGCAGACGGTTCAGAGAGACCTCCACCACCTTCACCGACTGTCCCAGCAGGGAACGGTCCGATATCAACCTGAATCAGATCCCGGTGAGTCGTTCTTCTTCTTTTCGCGAACTACAGCCACCCACTGTGACGGAGTTCTTGAAAAATCGGGGCCGAAATGTAAAGGTATCTCACATTTGGTCGTTCATTAGGAATCTGAACTGAGAAATGCGACACAAAAATGGCGCATTCTAAAGGAAAGAACATTAAATTGTGCATATCAAGGGATACCATCCAAGTGTCATACTCTGATTTTTAGGATACTTGGTTATTTATGTTTAGGGGGTGTTTTCCAACTTTGGGGTGGAAATACCTTTCTCTAAATATTTTCGCCAAGTCATAGGTGGTGCCACTATTTAGTAAACTCCAAAGATTATTTAAAAATAAAATGAACGACGTTATTGACACGGGATTCCCTGGAATTCGGCCATTATCGGCCAAAATACAAAATTTTTGTGCTTGACGGCATCTGGCTTTTCTAATGATATTAATATCTCACCGCTCGACGTTTGTGGCGGGCAATACCTCCATGATTATGTGTTATCGAACATGCGGTCAATTTATGATCGAGTCGAGTCGCGACCGAATACCTCTCGATATTCATAAGTATTTGCTAAATAAATCATGGTACATAGTCTATAAATAAGCAGAGGTCGATAGATACGTGGAAAAAGAAACATTTTTCTTGAAAGTTTGGGTACCGTCTGCGCGTACGCTCTTCGGACGATTTATTGATATTGATAACATCCCTGATTCCTGAGATTTTATATTTATACATGATTTCTGAAAACACTGTAACGATATTGAACAATAGAACAATATTGATAGAACAATAGTGTTTACGCGTAATCTTTTTTTTCCGATATACACACCGTGCTATTTTCCGTAAAAAATTTTATGGGATACGTTTAAAAGGTTTGCCTCTATCTCCAATAATTTCGAAGATAGCATCGGAGGAGCCTGAAACTTCGGAGGGTAGTTACCCTCCTAAACATGCGTTATCGCAGCTAATAAAAACAAAAGGGATATTGTGTGGATGCTACGTTTAAGAAGCTAGTTAGTTCGACGATGATCGCAAAAAATTTTATTTCTTCTGCTCGAGAGCATTCGTCAGATATCTCTCCAAATTCAAGTTTTTCTAAAAAAATTGTGTCGATTAGTTTTGTAGATTGTCACGTTTTCTTCGGAGACTTTATTTTTAAAAATTATACTCGAAATACCTTTTGTTATTTGTGACTAAAGATTATCCTATAATATTTCTTAGTTTTGGTTACGCCAGGATCCCTGGTAAATTTCATTTATCAAAAATTTCTTGTCAGGTGTTGTGCAAAGAACGTAACACCTCCGCGATAAATGCGATCGTCCTGGTGCCGAGAATCTCACATTTATCCAGAGGTACACCGTATTATGAAGGTTAATGATGGTGCCACGTTTTTCTTAACTCCTGACCGATCTCTTTCTCCCCGAAATACGGTAGCCTCGCACGATCGACCATGTAAGAATCCCATTAATTTTCCTCAACACCGTCGGAGGGAGATGTTATTCCCCTTTATCCCTTCGCGATCGCTGCGAAACAGCTGTTTGAATCGGAGAAGGAAACGATTGCTTCCGCGGCATCCAAGAAAATTAGGCGACTCGTAGAACAGTTTTTTTTTTTCGTTTCTTTCACCACGCACAGACAGCGGACGAGGGTGTAGCCGGGCGATCTGTTTTTCCGTTCGGACGTTTAATTTATTTCGGAGTTACGAAGCATGAATTAGCAAGTAGTAAAAAGGGACGCCCTTGCGTCCGTGGGATTCGACAGCTAATGGACGCCCACTATTTCCAATGCGATACGTGGCCCCGTGCCTCTGTTTTCGCTCGAACAATCCGTTGAATTTCTTATGTTTTTATCCACGGAGATAAATATAGCGAAATGCACGCTCAGAGACATCCCGTACGTGTTGACTTGTTTTTAGAAGGGAACTCAAACGAAATCCAGAGAATACGTGCGATCTATTTTTCTAGTCTGGTCTCCGCGTTGATCGAACAACGCGAGCAGATCGAGCTTTTCAACTCTTAACCCGCTGTGCGAATAACCAAAATTTTGTTCCGTAAACCATTAAAAAAGTTCCTACACGTTACATTTCCTTGGCGAACATCGTCCATTCAAATTGATCGTTTCTATTTCTATGTCGATATCTACGTGCAATTAAATAAAACGAAAGCGAAGAAAATGGGAAAATTCGCGATGACGGACGTGGTACGAAGGTTAAAAGGATGCAATACGTGCATCGTAAAATGCGAATGACAATGATTCACGGCGGAGCCAGGGCGTATCGCGGTGACTGGCGATAAATTCGAAACGCCCGTGTCAAATTCGGTTGCATTTACGGAATTGGCCGATACTAACAAAAACACGAATTACGCGAAACTGATTTCGGATTCCCCTCGCCCGTCAATTCCTTTTTGGACCGCATACATATTTCATTGACTTTTCTTCCGTACAATTTGTCTCTTCGCGTCCATTGGTCCAGCCGCGGTAACGCCGAACGAGGTTTCGCAGCTATTTTAGAACGTTGTATAAATATCTCCTAGCTTACGTAACCGTTACCATTCATCTTTATGGATTCAACGTCGAACCGTTCCCCTTTTGCCTGCGAATTGATCTCTCCATCATGTTATGTCAAACCGCACAATTTCTTGTTTCACGAGCTTGGGATCCATTTAAACATGGCAAACAGTTTCCGATCACGCACGCTAATAAAAATTTTAGAATGGGCATGTACAGGGAGTTCGGCCACGCCTGGGAAAAATGTTAATGAGAGATTCTAGAGGCCAAAATAAGACGAAAATCAAGAATATCAATTTCTTGATTTGTTAAGAAGTTATTAAAAAATTAAATTAAAAAATTTCAAATCATTCTGAAAAAATTGTTTTCAGATGCAGAGTTTAATTGCAATCATGTTTGGTGAACAGACATACCCCCAAAATCCTACAGTTTCGAGAAAAAAATTCAGTAGTTGGGGAAGTTTTTCGTCGATATTAGAAAATTTCAAATCACTCTGAAAAAATTATATTTGGTTGTGGAGATTAATTGCAATCATGTTTGGTGAACAGACATACCCTCAAAATCCTACACAGTTTCGAGAAAAAAATTCAGTAGTTGGAGAAGTTTTTCGTCGATATTAAAAAAATTCAAATCGTTCTAAAAAAATTATTTTTAGCTAGAAGAGTCAATTACAATCATTTTTAGTGAATAGACATACCCCCGAAATCTTACTCAGTTTTGAGAAAAAAATTCCTTACTGAAAATCTAATGTGAGGCTAGAAATGTTTCCCTGAATACGCGAATCTTTAAAATGTCGTAACTTCTGAACGAATTGGACGCTTTTAAAGTTTCAAAATGCACACTGTGCGTATTTTGGTGAAGAATATATAGAAATTCGAAAAGTTGCTTCTTAACACCCTAAAGTGAGAAAAACTCCATAAAAATGGTACAATTTTCAAACGTCCATAACTCCTACAATAGTGAATACATTACAATGAAATTTTTTTCTGAGGTAGAGCCCATGGATGCCTACAAAAAAATACAAGACAATATTTCCGTAGGACGTCAAACAAATTTATTAAAAATAAAAAACGTATTTTTAAGAAAAATCGACAAGAGGGTAAATTTTTCGACGAAAAAAAAAATTTCACATCCTTCTGAAAAAATCAGTTTCGGTTGCGGGGGTTAATTACAATCATTTTTGGTGAATAGACATACCTCCGAAATCCTACGCAGTTTCGAGAGAAAATTCGAATGGGTGCTGAAAATTTCGGCAAAATTAAAAAATTCCAAATCGTTCTAAAAAAATTATTTTTGGTTATGGAGATTAATTACAATCATTTTTGGTGAATAGACATACCCTCGAATTCCTATGCACTTTCGAGAAAAAAAGTTCAGAAAGCTAGACAAGAAATAGTTTCTAGTAATTGATTTATTCCTTCCATATATCTGTAATATTTTCTCTCTTTAAACAGGTAACATTTCAATTTTTTTTGTATTACTACTTCAGTTTCCACTCCAAATACAAGGCATTTTCCTTTCCCTTTGCATTAAGGGATCTTATTATTCATGTTCGTTCCTCCCGTTTTCTATCAATCTCAACCACTCTTCTCCTTGAACTTAGTCTCTCAAAATTCTCTTAACATTCCTATTTCCTCCTCCAGATAACAGAGTCTGCAACTTCTTTGCTGTTCACTCGCTTTAAATCTTTGTTCGTTTCGAACTCTAGTCGAAATTTGGCCTCTCTTTTAAGTGTTACGTATAAAATTAATGAAATATGGTACAGCTTGGTCAACGCAATGGAAACGGTTTAGTTTATTCCTTTCATCGAACGCTGTCAGGATCAAAAGCAATATTGTCGGTATTTATCGGTGTATAGCGCGATGCGTCAAACCGTTTAGCGATTCATTCGAGCCTCATCAGGCTCCTGTATCCACCTACTGACGATGCACAATATCGCGAACCGAAGACAAAGCGATTTGACATGCAAATTGACAGTCGACAGTACCCTTCGTCGGAGAAATAGGAAAACCCGAATCGCTCAATAGCGGGGAAACGACGAAAGAATGTTCTTATTGGCTTCCGTCTGTTTATTTTAGACGTTGTACGCCAGAGTCGGGAAAATTTTATTCTCGAACGGCAAATAAAACTGTTAGATTCGCTCGTGGATTAGCTTCCACTCGCCTCTGTATCATTTTACAAAATTCGTTAATAGATTCCAACTTACAAACAAGCTTCCGAGCGAAACGTAAATAGAAGTTAGTTTACGAATCAGTCTAAAATAGTTCGGTAGTAAATAGATGTTACGTTTTTAAAAAATCACGACGACGATCTCGAAATCTCGAAATTACGACCTTAAATAAGAATTGTTTTCCTACATTTTTCTCCCATCGGCGAAAATAACAATTTAAGATGTTCAAGTGGGGTGGGACAGCCTGTACAACGATCAAGATTAGCTTTGTTTTATCAGATCGTATTTTATTAAAGTATAACAAAAGAAATACTTTAGTATTTCAACTAATGTTTGGATTTAGCTAGTATCTGTACTCGTGTGGAGTGTATTTTAAGTGTTGTCTATACTTAGCTACTGTATACATTCGGTTGATATACGGGAAAAGGGGGGGATCGATAACTTTGACCCCTTTCATTATCCGTGTTATTTTTAGGGATACGAAGATTTTATTCAGAGTTATTATACGGTATCGAGGGAAGCATAACAAATCGATCGTAATTTTTGTGTGGGTCGAAAGTTCTTCGAGGCTTGAATGTCACTTCTATTTTTTTAAACGGCGTACTATATTTCGTGGACACCAGAAAAATTACGTATGTTTAGACGATTTCAATCGGCCATAATACGAAGTTATTTCACGGGACATAAAGCATATAATCGATTTGGTTATGACCACGTGAAACTTCTGCGAATACAGGTTCTGTCGTAATTATAGAAATAACGAATATCGAGGTGACCATAGTTGCTGCTCCATCCTCTACATATGTATATTTAACTAGTACGGATAATATTTATACTTAGCTGGCATTTATACTTAATTCATACTTATATTTAACTAATCTAGTATTTGTATATAAGGGCTCAAGTATCGATCCTCCGACAGTATTCATAATTAACTAATTATGAAGTGTCCAGAAATTATTCTCGTAAGTACTATAATATATGGGGTGAATGACCAACAACTTAAACAATTCATAACGAAGCAAATAGTGTTATCGTTTATTAATATCGACGAAAGTTGACAAATTTCATGTTTCGTGGCTATTACATAAAAAATATTTGTATTGTAATTCTCAACACAAGCACGCCGCGAGTGCTTTACTCGTTTCGATATCTAAGATCTATTTCGAGAGGATCTACATGCATTCTCAACGCGTTGTCGTAAATCTATCATGCAGTTAATCGAAGCTTGCATAAACTAAAGATTTTAAACGTTCTCGCGAAAGAGGAGTCCAACGCTTTCCCAAAGTGTGCTCCGCGAGCCTCGTTTAGGGGCTCCGTGATATCAGAACTATTTTCATAGTACAGCGTGTAGCCTGTGTAAATTCGTACCGAACGTATTATATTCCACTGTGGAAGCTACGAAATTTAAATACACAGAATTAACGGGGATCGGGGGGCGTATCGTTTCGTGCGAAACCTCTGAAATGTGTTTAATACGAAATTTCGGACGTACGATTGCACGAGCGGGTCGTTTCTATTTTTTCACCGGAACACGATCTAATCCCGTCATATTTGCAACCGCGGACTGGAGAAAATATGAAAAGACTGTGATTGCCGGTGAAAAGAACCAGCGCCGAGCAAAAAGTTCGTTCTTTCGCGGTCTTCAATTCTATGCAATTCACCGAAGCGTGCTCGTTCATTTGAAATGATAACGTATTTAAAGCAGGACATGACAATTTTATCCACGTGGCTCGAGAACAGAGAAACTGATACGTATGTGGAGCAACGGCTGATGAAACAATAACCGGCGCCATTCATGCATTCATTTTCAAACTATCGTATAGTTCCTGGAATCAGAATTCCTCGTTATTACAATAGTTTCGAATAAATTCTATCGATCGAATATAATTCTATTTGTTCGTACGAATAACAAGCTTATGTTTTGTTTTGTTTTTTTTTTTTATAAATCCGAAGCGTTCCGTTAATGATCGACGATTCTTTGATACGTTTTTCCTCGCTTGGTTACGAGGGAATACAAACAGAATACAGTACTCTCTCTATAGATATGTATAAGCTCGGAACTCGTCTACGATATAGGCAAATATCGTATCCCCTCTACTTATCCCCATTGTGTATCGTTATAACCCAGCACTCGCTGTATCGGCGAGTGTGCCTTCCTATGGGCGGCTCCTCAAGATAGCGGCGCGCTTCAAATTACTAAAGCAACACTAGTGCAATAATACAAATTTTTTATTTTTCCTTTTCTTGTTTTAAAGCTTTTAACATGTCTGTGACAGTTTTCTGATTTAACTAAGATCAAGTACAACATAATTTTTATTATTGTTTTTCATAAATAATAATATACATTTGTCCTTTCTTTAAAGTGTCTGTCTCATCTGAAAAAAGGAATTGTAATTTATTTGCTGAAATTGCGAGACAACTCAGAGTAAAATAAGTTGGTTAAACAGTTCAAATTCGCAAGTTGTATCTTTTTGAGTCATATCACTATTGCAGTAAACGAGCGATACGAACATACATGTACCGAAGTTATGACACGATTTAACTAGTACATATACAATATTAAGTCAACAACGAAATTCATCTTTATTTTTGTTCTTCCTTTTTTCAAACTTTATCAATATATTCGTGACACTTTTCTGATTAAAATGACACCGAATATGATGTACAATTTAGATCCTATTTACTAACACAATAAGCGATCAAAGGCATGCATCGGTCAAGTGAGTCCACGTCGACTGTATCGAAACACAGGCGATGTTTACGGGAACCTATACAGAATCAGTATTTCGTTCTGCGACCTCTACCAAGAGAGATTAGAACACCGATTTTGTATATGCTCGCGTAAACATTGCCTGTGTTTCGCTACAGCCGATCGAAGCGAAGGAACCGATAGCAAATTCGGCGATGCTCGGGCGTTCAGTCCCTCTTTGTCGTATGCTCGCTGTTCTTTCCTACACTCGCCGCCTCCAGTAGGCGTTAACAAAGTATCAAAAATCGTTTCTCATCCACGCTATAGCCGAGCGTTGAGTCCCGAGAGCTTCGCTTCTATAGAGACAATACTGTGATCTCATGCAATTCAGATGATGCATTAAGCAGTTTGGGGTTGATAGTCAATCGACAGGATGCAATACTGTTTCGTGTCAATATTCAGATGCGTGTTACGCGTCCATCGGGCTCGGAAAATAAATGAACTTACAGGAATTTCTACGCGTACACGCTGTTTGCCGAACCCGTCGTCGGGTGCTATTATTCTAAAAAATTTCGATCGCGTCCCGAAGGAGAAATTCGAGAATGAAATTTCAATGGAAGAAAATAATAACTCGCCGGAGTAAGTCACGTCTGGAAAACCGGATTTCTTAAATAATGCAATAGATGCATTTGCATCTCGTTGGCAAAAGTCGAGGAACATCCGCAAAAATGTCCCTTCTGACTTTGATCAAACGTCGCGGGCCTGCGGAGCAGCCAAAAATAGAATACGTATTTTTATTAGCGGCGGTAGCTCGAGTTTGAGGGGTGGTAACCACCCTCGAAGATTCCATTCTATGTACAGTATATTATCGTTATTATATTTTTACTTATTTTTAAATTTCTCTCTCTCGTAATTTCGTACTACTTATATAGTCGTCCTAAAGCAGTAAGCGTGTAATGCCCGTTGTTTCGGATTTCCCTAATTGCTAATTTGAGATTCGACTATGTTGCAATTCTAAGTCGATTGTGCTGGTTACCTTTGAGACGGGGATATTCCCGGGAATGGTATCGCACAGAGTGTCTTCCTAAATGCATTCGTAGCATCAAGACGATCGTTTAAATAACATGCAACGTAAACATGAATTAATTTTCAACAAAGCTGGACTTTCCTCGACAGTTTCTGCAAATCATTGTACCGCGAAAATCAACGAACACACGATCCCGGTTTCTCAGACAGAGATCAGCCGTGTCTGACACAATTCCTAATGACTAAAATGGCCTTCGAATTCCAATTATATGTACTTCCAGCATTGATCCGAGGGAAAGTTTTCGGCGAAGGTCGTTTTATGCTGATATCATATTGGACTTATCGCGAAGCGTATGATAAAAATTTACAACGAAATTAGAATTTAACGATCTCAAACGGCGCACAAACCGAGTCAAATTTTATACATTTCTACATGTTTAAAAAATGCAACTCTATAATTTTGATCGCGGTTCGTTGCTACAGGCAACGTTATCAGGAGTTTACTAAATATCACTGATAAAGGCACGGCATCCATACAAACTGTTTGTAAACACTTGCTCCATTATCTCGAGTTTGTTTGTATACAATGGCGCGTGCAGTCGTGACATTAAATATTCTTATCAAATCAATATTTTAGTATCAGTGATGACATGATTACCATTATCGCGAGCTCTACAGCTAACATTGCGATATTTACTTGGAGTTCATCTACGTATCAACAAGTGTTTCGCAAACGTATACTGCGTTCCTAAAGCGCGAACGTGCTTATTTTTTAAACGGAATCAACTTTCTTGTTGGATTAAATCGATTCCCTGGCTCGTAAAAAGCGTTCCTCTCCACTTATAACTTGGCGACGTTATAAACGAAATCGACTTTCTACACTTTCGCGTAACGCATGTTGGATGTTTGAATATTACAAAGCCGCACTTTGGTCGGTAGCGTACCGCGGACTAATAATAGTATTCATGGATACAAATGAATATGAAGCGCGATACGTGATGCGAATGTTTGGTCGGATTCTGAATAACACGACCAGAGAAGATACGAAAGTGTCCGTTTCTCTTCCCTGAAATAAATTATTTTCCATGGTAGTTGTCCTTCGACGACCTTGAACGACGATGATAATAAAATTCTTGCTCGTTTCGTTTCAAAAGCATTCAAAATTTATTAGTGGATTCTTGAAACGTAATTTTTATTAAATTCATGGCTGCGTATGAGTCAGAAGTCACGTGACGATAATTCTTCTCGCGAGACATTATTGTGCTGTTTACGGAGCTGACAGCGCAACGTTAGTTACGCAACGTGTATCGTCGTGTCAACAAGTGTTTCGTTCCCCGAGTCATTCGACCAAAAAATGGACCCGTTTACGACCACTGTGATCCTCGTGGCAGTGTTTCTATTCGTTCACCGGCTCCTATGGGCGCCGATGAGCTATTTCAAGCGAGCTGGGATCCCCCACGAACCGGCGATACCAATCTTCGGCCACATAGGGCCGGTCCTGTTCCGTCGTAACTTTCTGGGAGAGTACGGTCAACGGATGTACAATCGTTTCACAGACGCCAAGTACTTTGGATTCTACATCTTTACCACGCCTATGATAGTGATCCGTGACCCTGAACTGATCACGTCGATCGCCATCAAAAACTTCGACAATTTCAGCGATCATCTGTCCATGGGAAACGAGGACGTGGATCCCCTATCGGGGAAGGGCTTGTTTTTCCTTCGCGGGGATCGATGGCGGGAGATGAGGAAGCTCCTGAGCCCGGCCTTCACATCCGGCAAGATGAAGATCATGTTCGATCTCGTCAGCGACTGCGCTGACAGGTTCACGGAACACGTCGCGACGGAATCTCAAAGGGGAAAGGTGTTCGAACTGAAAGAACTGTTTGGAAGGTATGGCACCGACATGATCGCCACGTCCAACTTCGGGATCGCCGTCGACTCGATGAAGAATCCGAGCAACGAGTTCCACGCGTACGCCAAGGAGGCTCTGGTCCTTACGTTTGGCCGATTGGTGAAGATATTGATAGGCAGACACTTCCCAAAACTGTCGAAGATGCTCGGCTTGAAAGTATTCGGCGACGAGATTCGAAGTTACTTTACGAACGTCATCGCTGAGACTGTTAGAACGAGGAAGGAAATGGTAGGTATACTTGGGTCGAAGAGACAAGAGATAGATACGACACGTTTAACGAGACTATTTGCAAACGTAATTGCAAGTTCAAATTTAAAGTTATACGATCGATGAACAATATGGATCCGTAGCTGTTCGTTTCGTAAATATTGTTTACCGTTGTAATTCCTCAGAGCTTGCGAGTTGACGCTATTTATACTGACTTCCGCGAAGCTTTCGATACTGTCAGTCACTGTTTTCTTCCTGCCAAATTCCACTCTTTGAAGATCGGTGGTAGCTTCCTCGTCTGGATTTCGAGCTTCTCGACCGACAGGACAAAAATAATCTATGCTAAATCTAATACACGCCTCGAAGATTCTCACCTATGAATTTAACAAAATACAATTTCTATTCAAACAGACGTGGAAGCTCTCTAGTGATTACTATACATACAAATAAACATGCAAAGCCAGAGTCGCCAGAGGCTTTCAACACAGAATTAAATTCTCCAGTAATTAACACCACAGAGACATTGCTACTGCGTTGTCCTCGAAACGATGCAATGTTTGTCGTTCGATTATTTATTTTTCTCCGACACACGCACGTAACGTTTCAACTGTGTCCATAAATAGAACATCTACCGACCGGACATGATCCAGCTGATGATAGAGTCGAGGGACACGAACGGAAGGGAGCTGACGATCGACGAAATGGCGACCCAGGCGTTCAGCTTCTTTCAGGCTGGCTACGGCACGTCGACGACCTTTCTGTGCTTCGCTGTACACGAGATCGCCGCAAACCCGGACGTGCAGGGTAAGTTACGAGCAGAGATCGAGGCTGTAGCGCGGAAGACGAACGGCAGACTCACGTACGACGCCATCAAAGACATGGCCTACATGGACGCGGTGCTCAACGAGATCACCAGATTGTACCCGGTGACGACGGTTCTGGATCGAGTGTGCGTGAAAGAGTTCGAGCTACCTCCAGCTACGCTGGATTCGAAGCCTGTCACGTTAAAACCTGGAGCGATGGTGGCTTTCATGCCATTCGCGATGCAACGGGATCCAAAATATTTCACCGATCCGCTCAAGTTCGATCCTGACCGATTCTTGAGCAACAATGTTCCCCAAAACGTTTGCTTCCCGTTTGGGTTGGGTCCCAGAGTCTGCATCGGGAACAGATTCGCCATGATGGTAGTCAAGATCCCGTTGTTTTACCTTTTATCGCGCTGCGACGTCGAGCTTTGCGCTGAGTCCACGCACCCGATCAGGCTGAGCAAGAAGACCGTTTTACTGGATGCTGAAAATGGATTCTGGTTGAAGATGAAGACGAGGAAGAATTATATTTTGCGCGTGGACGACGCTGCGATTAAATAAAGAGAGATTATAGGGTCTTCTCGCTAAACTAGATGGGGATTTCGCTAGATAACTTCTCGCTAGTCAACACTTGTCACACAATTTTAAGTACCAGACATTTTACATTGCAAATAAAGGTATATATACTGGGTAACTTCAAAGGACTTTCAAGAATCTGTTTACATTTGTTACGAGCGCGAGCGCGGGATCCTGGATTCGGTCGAGGGCAGTACACATAGGTTTTTAGGAAGCTTTAGGATCTTGCTCTATCGTAATGGTACACCTCGAGCGGTAAAGGTGTACCGGCTACTTGAGATACTCCTAGTCTTGCTGTTAATAGGGTTCAGGGTTGTATTAAGTGAATAATGCAAGTGAGGATAACTACTTGAATATATTCTGATCGATGCTCAAGTACAATTGTCGGTTATTTGAAGTAGTACTATTGCTAGGTTGCCTTGACAGCGAAAGTTCTATGTCGGCTTTTACGCGACACGTTCGCGGGAGCTACTTTCTCGATTAGTCTAGTGGACGCTTACTAATAAAACCGCCAAGGTAGGTACGTTGCTTGATGGGGATTATAGTCCGATGTTGCTCAGAGTGTCAGCTTATATACTAGAAATTGAGCCTTTAGAGTGGTGGGGCATTACCATATAAGGTAATGAAAATTGGGCCGGGTGCTCACATATGGCATGAGTCAATCTTGTCCGAGGGGTTGTACGCTAGATGATCATGCCAACGCCCAAGCCACCATACGTTTCGATCCCATTCGTGAGTGATATGTAACACATTGTAGAAACGATTTTCCTTTGCCAGTTCTTCATCGTTTAACATGCTTTGCCATTGCGGAGATGACAAATACAAACCACGTTTTGCGGACAAACGTTGTTACGACTTCAGAATTTCGCGTCGACTTACTTCGCCAACCTTTTACGTCTTTTGGTAGTTCTTGCCTTTAACCCCTTGCCTTACGATTTAATTTCCAACTGTGCGTGCCAAAAGCGACACCAAGGTTTGGCCCTGTAGACTTATCACGTCTCTGAGTCGTCATTGTAAGCTAAGGGGTTAACTTAATCTCGGAATATCTTTCGACGCGGTGTATGCAACGACAAAAATTCTACTCGAAAGATGATAGAGTTTCAGGTATGTTGCCTGACTGGAAACACGTTTGATTGACACATTCGACACGCTCGGTTAACTCTTTATAATTCCTTGGTCGTATCATAAGCGTCTCCTACTACGCGAAATCCATGGTATCATGCATAATTCGTGCTAAAACGTAAACCGGTTTCGTCTCTCAAACAAATACAGGATTTATGTTTACACACTGCCAAGGTTACTGTGAAACCATTTCCAACTGTTCAAACCTGACTGCATCAACCAAATCCACCGATCCATTTCATAGGGAAACCTTATATTCGCTGAAGCAACCCATTGAAATATTTTGATAGCGTTGATGGTCAATAATTTCTTAAACTATAATTTCTACGCAGCTATCGCCATAATATCGCGTGTCATATTCCTAGTGAGAGATACGCTAGGATAATTCAGTAAATACTCCAGGGTCGTTCCACGTCAGGGATTTCGATGGAATTGAAATATGTTGTGAAAGGACGCGTTTGAATCTCTCGTCGCAATTAGAATCGATTTAAATATTTGCATATGGATCCGTCATGTTTCGTGCAACAACCTAACGTTTCCTATCTAAGCTACCATCAATGGGGAACGTTGGAAGAGCAGCGCGTAGAATCAACAACATCCGAAATAATCCGATTAAATCTTCGCGCGAGTCACGGGTCGTATGATCGCCGTTCTTGCGCGTTACTTTATAGCTGTCAGCGCCATATTGATTACGCAACAACCCTCATCCTGTAAACAAGCGTTTCATCTCGCTACCATTGCAACGTTCCCTGACACGAGTGTCTGTTCCAATCTCGATCGAGTTGGACCTGTTAGTGACGGTTCTAGTTCTTCTGGCAGCGTTTTTCACAGTCTACGGGTTCGTATTGTATAAATTAATACTAGGTCATGTGGATTCCATATTGTTGATCGTACAGCTACTATCGAAACTCTTAACTCTCCCAAAGATTTAACCCTTTTAGTGCCAACAACGATATATCGTTGCGTATGCGATGGTGTCTTATTCTTCGCATTAGGAGAAAGCTCTGTCTCAAAAAAAATTTGTAAAACATTATAAAGGGTCTAATTTTATTGCAAAAGCATTTAAAAAATTATTTTTGGGTTTAACCCTTTGCCCTAGAAGCCTTTTTCGCTCGGGCGAACCAGCAACTCAACACTACTTTGTGGTGGAAACGTATGTTATTCTAGAGTCGTCATATTATACAGGGTGTTCGACCAACCCTGGGAAAAATTTTAATAGGAGATTCTAGAGGCCAAAATAAGACGAAAATGAAGAATATCAGTTTCTTGACTGAGGCCTCGTTAAAAAGTTATTAACAATTAAATTAAAAAATTTCAAACCGCACTGGAAAAATTATTTTCGATTGCAGGGGTCAATTACAATCATTTTTGGTAAATACACATACCTCCGAAATCCTACCCACTTTCGAGAAAAAAATTCGAGTAGATACTGAACTTTTTAGGTGAAATTAAAATATTTAAAATCACACTAAAAAAATTATATTTAGTTACAGGGGTCAATGACAATCATTTTTTTCATTACACATACCCCCGAAATCCTACGCATTTTTGAGAAGAAATTCCTTACCGAAAATCTAATTAGGTGCCTAAATTTTTCGACGAAAAAAAAATTTCAAATCGTTCTGAAAAAATTATTTTCGTTTGCGGGGGTCAATTTCAATCATTTTTTGTGAATACACATACCCCTGAATTCCTACCCAGTTTCTAGAAAAAAATTCGAGAATGTGTGAAATTTTTCAACGGGAAAAAAAAATTTCAAATTGTTCTGGAAAAATTATTTTCGGTTGTGGGAGTCAATCACAATCATTTTTGGTGAATAGACATACCCTCGAAATCCTGCGCGTTTTCGAAAAAAAATTCAGTACGGCTCCACTTTAAACGTTAATAACTCTTTAACAAAGCCTCATCATATTTTGAATTGATTATTTATTAAAAAATCATTGAAAATCAAATACTTATACTTTATGCTACGTGACCTACATAAAACTGTGATGAAACAATGATTATTCTTATGTGTAAATATTGTTTGTAGAAGAGAAACTTGTTTCTATGTTTTTTATCATATTTTATAATTGTGTTATTTATATGATTTTCAATAAATATTGAAATGCAATTGCCATTACTTTATTCTTTCTTTATTTCGTAATATGCTGCTTTTTGAATTTTATAAATATCATTCTTAGTTTGGTTTTTATGAGCTTTTTCTCTAACCATAACAAACTCGTGAAATTGGCTCGGTATTCTTCGCATAGGCACCCGTTTTTCGCTCGGCACTAAAAGGGTTAAGATATTCGAGGCTTATAGAGACTTTCAAGAGTTCTTAGCTTCAAATCGTACTGGAATTTTACGCCATACGTTATCGAGAATACATGTTAGGGCAACAAAATTGTAACGTAGACGTCAGAAGTCTTCCTATATTCGCGTTCCATTACGTCGTATAATTTTTCAATATTCAATATAAGGACGACAGTCTTATATGACGTGTTATTTAATATTCCATGGAGCTTTTTCTATGAAAAGTGCATTGTTTGGTCTTCTCTGGCACGTTTTGACAACGTCTGTCATTATTCTGCAGCTTCCAACGGTTTCAACTTTACGAAAACCCTATTCTCTCTCGATAAAATGAAACTTTATATTCGGTCGAATAAAAGTCTCCGTACGCCGTGACTATCGATCAGTGAACACTGAATAAACGTGAAAAGAAAATTTAGGTATACAGAGTTAGGTTTAGGAAGCGGAAAAAGATTATAACAAGAGTCGGTATACATGATCTCAAGTGGGGTGAATCACTACGATGGCTTCTTTTAACACATGTACAATTAAGGCATGAAATACTCTTATCTGTCATTCTTCGAAGTTTTGTTATCTCTGCTATTATTGAATAGCTCATCGAGTAGGCTTGCGATATGATTATAGTTGTGATCGATGTTAAAATATTTTTTTTGAAAATTGATAGACACTGGGCACATACAGGGCGTCCATTCTGTTTTGTGCCATTAATATTACGCGTAGCGAAAAATGTTTCATGTAGAATCGACTTTTAATAAGATAGAACAATGGTTGTATTCCAGCAGGATGTAGCGAGAATTGTTTAACCGGTACTCTTACAAGGAGGGGAAAAGTGTAATTGGTTAATAATGGTAAATGCAGAGCCACTGCTATATATTTCGCGTACACCACATCCTCTCTCACTGTCAAATTGGCTTCTGGCCTGGCGTTAAAGTAAGACACGTCTGACACAATTTGCACGCGCGTAGGTCGTTATTCGCCGTCAATTGAGTTTCATTCAATTGTACTTGCATGCGCGTTGTTCCTACTAGCAGTTTACGGTCAAGGTCATGCAGTGTAAGGAAATAAAGGGACCGTAAATATTGTGAACAAGGTAGATATTTAGGTAGTTTCGTTTGGGCCATCTTCTGTATTTAATAATCAGCGAAGACAAGAGATTCTGATCGTTGTAGGCAGTTAGAGACAAAGGTGAACTTTGAAATATCGCTATCGTCGCGATCTTGAAACCTAATTTGGAGATGTGTCACCAACGGAGAACTGTGCAATGATACATTCACACTAGGATGTGTTATCATTGTTATCAAACCTGCGTATAAGAGTCAGAAGTCACGTGACCGCTGTTCTCATATATTATCTCACAATTCCCGACGCGAGAATAGTTACGAATCGTTCGCGAGCGAACAGCAACAACATTCCGGGCTAACTACTTTTCTGAATCCACCGGTACCGTTAAACGAGTTCTATTTTCATGTAATGATTAAGAGTTTTAGATTCGTTTGTAAACTATTTATTGCGTTTTGTGCGAGAGAAACGGGAGAATCGTAACGCGGTAATAACAACTAACGCGGTGTGTTTGTTTTGAATTTCTAACCGCGTGAAATTTGAGTTCCAGTCATCGTACGTCTTTCAGTAAAATCTCTTAGTTTTTTGAAAAATTAGTATGAGTCATTGATTACTAGACTGCGGATCTTTATGCAAATTCACATTTTTATTAATAGAATTAATGAAATCAGAGCTTTCTAGAGCTCCGTCTCAACCCCTAAATATAATAATTCGTATCTTACTTTAAGTATTTCTTATATTTTTGCATATTAAATGCATTCTGTAGTTTTCTGAGGATTAAAATTTCCCATAAATGCATAAACATCCGCAGTCTATTGATTACGATCCGATAAGTCCGATGTCAGACTATTTAAAGTTAAAAATATCAGATCCAAACGATAACGCGTAACGATTTCGAAAGACAACTATCTAAGCGATGATTATCAATCGACCAATCACAAAGTTCGCGAAGAAGATAAATCCGTGAGCTAGTTTACGAACGTATCTAAGATCCGAAATCTTTATTCGAATAAAAGGAATAAAATTTGCCCAAACTCCCTCTTCTAGAGAATAGGTGTTCGCCAAGATGGACGCGTTTACGATCGCTCTGATCCTCGTAGGAGCGGTTCTCCTCGTCTATAACTTTATATGGAGACGAATGAACTATTTCAAGGAAATGGGAATCCCCCACGACTGGCCGCTTCCGATACTGGGCCACATGGCGCCGATTACGTTTCAACGCGTACACATTGCCGATCACCTCAAGAACGTATGTGAGCGTTTCTCGGACTGCAAATATTTCGGATTCTACAACTTTATAATGCCAGTGATAATCGTCACCGATCTCGATCTGATCACGTCGATCGCCGTTAAAAACTTCGAGAACTTCACCGATCGTTCCACGAGCGTCGACGGCGATTTGGACCCTCTGATGGGGAATAATCTATCCGCCCTTCGTGGCGATCGTTGGCGGGACATGAGGAAGCTTCTCAGCCCGTCGTTCACCTCCGCCAAGTTGAAGGCCATGTTCAATCTGGTGATCGACTGCGCCGACAGGTTTTCCGAACACATCGCCGAGGAATCGATAAATGGCAAGGTGTACGATATGAAGGACATCTTCAGTCGATACACGAACGACGTGATCGCGACGACCAGCTTCGGGATCACCGTCGACTCGATGAAGAACCCGGACAACGAGTTTTACAAGTTCGGCAAGCGAACTTCCAGCTTTTCGTTCTCTCAGACGATAAAGATGTTGGCGGGGAATAACTTCCCGAGACTAATGAAATTATTACGACTGTCGATATTCGGGGAAGAAACTCAACGTTACTTCAAGAACATCGTCACTCAGACTGTGAACTTGAGGAAAGAGAAGGTAGGTATCGAGAAACTTATTAAATAGTGCACGTTGGACTGGCGACGTCCCTACTCTAAGTCTTCCTTTCGCGTAAGCACGATACTGAACGTAGAAGTCTATACCCTCCACTGCCAGTGCAGATTGATCTACAAACGTAATTTTCTGCGGTGACGTCAAGTATCTACAGATGAGAGTATCTAATTGGACTTATCTGCAATAGCGAACAATCGTTCAAAATAAAATAGAATAAAGCATTATATGTCCGCAAGGTCGAATCTATTAGAGGTCTCCAGTGCCAAGATAGTATCTAAGGAACAAAGACCACCTTGTAACTGTTCCTCGGACTAGTTTCAAGCATATTCTCCGAAAACAGGGTATCAACCGGCCGGACATGATCCAACTGATGATGGAGTCGAGTAGTACGTTCGGAAGGGAGCTGACCATCGAAGAAATGACGTGCCAGGCATTCGTCTTCTTCCTGGCTGGTTACGAAGCTGCCTCGAATTTGTTATGCTTTACCGCTCAGGAAATTGCCGTGAACCCAGACGTGCAGCTTAGGTTGCAAGCAGAGATCGACGACGTCATGCGTAACACAGGCGGGAAACCCACCTACGACGCTATCAAAGGCATGTCTTATTTGGACGCGGTGATCAACGAGGCGAACAGAAGGTACCCACTCGGGTTGATGTTGGATCGTTTGTGCTTGAAAGAGTTCGAGATCCCGCCAGCGACGCCTGATTCGAAACCTATCACGATTAAACCCGGTGTTCCCGTGTGGATCCCGATAATGGCGATTCACCACGATCCAAAGTACTACCACGAGCCCCTGAGATTCGATCCCGATCGGTTTCTGAACGGTTTACCTCCCCCGAATGTTTACATGCCGTTCGGTTTGGGCCCGAGAAGCTGCATCGCGAATAGATTCGCCCTGATGGAGACGAAGGTGGCATTGTTTTACGTTTTGTTGCGCTGTAACCTCGAGCCCTGCGCCAAAACCACGCACCCTATAATATATCAGAAAAAATCCTTCGCGATGATACCAGAGGGTGGGTTCTGGTTGAACGTTAAAACGAGAGACAGCGCTGCTCGCAGGCAGGCATAAAATGGCGTTGGTAAAATTTCGGATGGAACTGCTTCCGTTAAGTAAAGAGGAATGTTAGGGGGCTATACCAGTGTGATCGCTGGTATACCGTTTTGAGAAAAACGCGTATAAAGTTAAACTTACTGATTTCTTTGTGATAAAACGATATTTACCATAGTAAAAGTTAATCTGCTATTCCGTATCCACATAATGGACCTTCCTCTTCCTGAAAAAGTAAATTCTATTCCTATCTCTCTCGTCGGCATATTCCTTTGCAATGGGATCAATAGTAACTCCCATTATTTGGAAAATTTTCAATATAGATGAAAACCATCATTAAAAATCCCAACAGCCAGAAAATTGACAAGTTCGATGGTTTTTAAATCATTGTGGAGGTGTTTTGGAGCAAGGTGCCAAAGCAAGGTATTATAACATTTATAAATAAGTATAAAGCATTGTTATATAGTTAGAATTTAAAAAAAAAATAATGGAGGAAAAAAAATACGGCAAAAAAAATTCCAGCGGTTCCACAGTCGGGCACTCTAACGCTGCGCTATCGAAACCTTTGAAAATATCGTTGATTTTTTAGGCTATATATGCCCAATGGTTGGCTTTATTTTATTTGTTTCAATTGTTATGTAATTCTGCTTAGTGTAGAAACATTAAACAGTCCACAAAACACTCATATATTGAAGAATGCATAAAAATTCAACGTGTAAGTTACTCTAATACGCAGAATGAGGAAAAAATCGGTTTTTATTTTTTTTCACTGAGGCGCACCAAAATGAAAAATCTGAAAAAATTGAGAATAATAGTAATAGCAATACCTGTTTACTGTAAAAGTATAAAAGTAATTCCGGACCTCCCTCAATACGTAATCGACATTTTTCGGCATTTTTTGCGGTTTTTTATTTTTAACTACCTGGTTCTTCAATCAAAAAATCTGAAAATCTTCCAAAATATGTGCCCCGGTACCCGACATGTCTCTGAATTTTTTTACATTTTTTTACTCATTAGGTCAAGAGAAATTGTACAAAAACATGAATTTCGTTTTCACCTCATTACTACCCCCACGGTCGAGATTTCAAGTTAAAAATTGGCACACAGAGTTTTTTTTGGATAAGCTATCGAATGATCCATCGTTCGCTCAATTCGGTTCGGGGGTACATTTGACCCCCTTATTCGGCTATTTGTAGTTTATTAATTAATTTTTCGGTTAGTTTCACCGTACTTTTACTTTTTCCTCCTAAGCCCTTGGTTTGCTTTTGTAAATCTCGGCATCGCGTTCCCATTCTTTTTTTCACGTGTAAGTAGCACTCTACTTTTTCTACTTGGGTCTAAATTCAATATGCCTTTACATGTGGCACTATCGCCATCGCCAATATACCGCGTATATTGTACTCCATATTTATCAATAGAGTGATTGAGCATGTTTTTCACGCTATCAACCTCCATTTTTGCAGCTGATCCTGAGTGATTTAGATCACAATTATTGTACTCTGCGAGCCATTCGTCATATTTATCGGGATTATTTTTTTTTTTTTTCTTATTCCATACTTCATAACTCTTACAGTAGGATGATTTCACAACTGTATCGATAATCTTTTTGCAGTATTTACCTGCAAGAGCTGTAACGCCAAAACGCGAAGTATGGCCGCGTTTTTTCCAGGTACCATCTCCGGAAAGTGTTACATTACTATCTGAACCTTCTTGTTCGAACGTTTTAGTCTTTTCTTGATCCACGGCGGTTTCCATACTCCAGTTGTAAATTGTTCCACTTTAAAACAGACATAAATTGAATAATACGGTATCCGTGAGCAGTATCGATTATAACGTGATTATCACCGGTAAATAAGAGTTTTTCAGCAGCCGTACTGGTACCCGCGGTAGACTTATAGACACGGTAGGCAAACTTCCTCTTTTTACCAGTCGATCTACGCACAGGATTATAAGCAATCATATCGCAGAAAACCCCTTTCGGCAAAACCAACTAGTCGCTCAATATTAATTTGACGCGCGACCTATCTTCGAAATTTGATACCTAATGAAAAGGAGATAATGATAATCTAAACGTATACAGTTCTCGTGAATACGCGTTGACTAAGTTTCTTTCTCTCGACGATAAGCGCGTTTCTGATTTGCCAGTAACTACTCTTCAGAACACAGCAATTTCTAGTATATAAGGGCCGCGTTTTCTCACTCTGGGAGTTCAGTTTTTCTAAAACTCTCGACACAACGTTACTTTGACACTCGAGGCAAGATCGGGCTATAATCCCCATCAAGCAACGTACCTATCTTAACGGTTTTATTAGCGAATGTCCATTAGACTAATCGAGAAGTAGCTCCCGCGAACGTGCCGCGTAAAAGCCAAGATAGAACTTTCGCCTTCAAGGCTACCTAGCAATAGTACATACTAGTTCTGTTAATTGACCATTGTACTTAAGCATCGATTAGAATATGTTCAAATAGTTATTCTCACTTGCATTATTCACTTAATACAATACTGAACCCTATTAACAGTAAGACTAGAGGTATCTCACGAACCCGGTACACCTTTACCGCTCGAGGTGTACCATTACTACAGAGCAAGATCCTAAAAACATCCTCAAAACCTACGTGGCTCCCAGGGTATAAAGCCCCTGGTTCGTCTGGAACTCCTTTCTCTTTCCCAACCCAGACAACATTCTAACATAGTAACATTCTAGAGAGTATAAACTTTCAAAATATGCAAAAAAGAAGAAATCCATTTTTCAAAAGTACTACACTGGTATAGTCCCTTAATGATGTGGTTCGGAAGATGGAATATTGATTTCATAGGTTGTTTCCGGGGCTTGAATAAAAATTGATTTATGTATCGACGATCGTCGTTTGATTAAAATTTGAATGCATTTAAAAATTTCGTTACAAATTTTCCCCTTTTCGATCGATACCATCGTACTCCAAAATGTACAAATATTATATTGTATAATAGGTTGTGGAATATTTATAACAGGTGAAATATACTTCTAGTTTTTTCTATAATTTATTATTATCATCCTCGATGTCTTTAAAAAATTTCGAAGCTGCAATAATTGATCTCGATCGGTTTTCCAAGATTAATAGCTCTGATATTGACTAATCTATCGCCACTTGGCGATAGTTTTTTAAACGAGTCTATATCTGAGAAGCGTTCGCGTCAAATCGGCGTTTCCTTAAATAGGATCACGTTTTTCTTATCGTCGTGGTGCAATAGCTGATGTTGATGCAAGTTCAATGATATATAACTTTACGTGTGTAATTTTTGTTCAAACAGCGATAACTACAACTTGTTATTGTCATCGGATTATTGAGATAGCATATCAGTTAGTATATTAGTATATACTAATATATATGTATATTAACTGATATGCTATCTCAATAATCCGATATATATATAATTAATGGTGTGTTACTTTGCAGCCAGATGATATCTCACACAATTTTACGCAAATACGAAGGACGTCGTTTTGTAAAATAATCACTGATTGATTGATTATTTGTTATTGTATTTGTATCGGTAGTCGGTTCGCGAATGCGTCAACGTACTTGTCTCACCTCGTATATTTTATAGCATTACATAATATTGCGTTGAATTCTGCTCTTTCCTGCCGATTCACAGTCCACGTGATTGTTTATCGCGATATCTATCTGTGGCGCTGCTTCGCTGCGGGTAGGGGATCTCGTGAGAATTCGTAGGAGGACAGAAAAGGGAAAAGAGGGGGCGCGTTTCGTTCGGGCCTGCCAGTGGACTCATCAGTAAGGCTTTCTAGCAGGCCCTGCCTTAGACGACTGGGATATTGGGAAGTCGTTCGAGGAGTGTATATATAGCAACGGAGGGGTCGGTCGAGCGCTTGTGAGAGCGCGACCCCTCTGGTGGCGAGCATGGGAGGCGACGCCACATATCTATTCCCACAGCGCGTGAGCTATAACTTCAAAACAAGTCGTCGACTCTAGAAAAGCGAGGCTTTGTACAGAGTAAAAATTGTTAGATCGATTATACATAAGGGTTGTAGATATCTATTTCCGTTAAACTACCTTTCGAAATCGAGATTCTCAATTCTTGAAGAAAGCAATCATTACGCGCGTCAATGCCAAATAAACCTAGTCAAGGATGACCTTCGATCGTCGATCGAGGAAATAAACACCTTCGAAAATGAGTCAGTTCGCAACAGTTACACGACATGCATAGTTATTTCCACCGTTAAATGCAATCGATAACTACTAAAAATAGTAAAAAATGTAATTATGTAAATGTCGCTGAGTGTATTCGCATCACATGTCTTAAATGCACGTTGAAAACAGATACCTCTGGCGCGTACGCCATGTTATGAAATAATGTGTCGCAGTATCACAGCCAGCAGGAACATTGACGTCACTGGCTGATAAATTTGCAAAACGTCTACTGTTCTGGATGTAACGCATTCCACGACTATGTTATCTTTTATGTAATCTGTTAGCATACACGATAACTATTATCGATGGAGACTAATGTATATTAACGACGGACTTTACAAACGTAACAGCATTATTCTGTCGTTGCCAACGCGACACAACATCGTGTCCAACAGTTACACCTCCATCATTCTCGCGCATTTATCGCAAGCTTTATCCGTTCAAAACACAACCATCATGGATCCATTTACGGTAACTCTATTACTTGGTGTAGTTTTTCTACTCATTTATTACTATCTGTGGAGAGGTATGAACTACTTCAAGGAACGCGGAATCGCTCACGATCCGGTGATCCCGATCATAGGACACATGTTGCCGATCATGATGCGTCGCATTTACATGGGACACTACCTGAACGATATGTACAATCGTTACTCGGACAGAAAGTACTTTGGATTCTACAATTTCATCAGGCCCCTCATAGTGATCCGTGATCCCGACCTGATGAATTCGATCACCATCAAGAATTTCGATTACTTCACGGACCATCACCCCGTAGTAAACAAGGATCTGGATCCTCTGGTAGCGAAGAACCTGTTCGGCCTCAAGGGCGATGATTGGCGAGAGATGAGGAAGCTTCTGAGCCCGTCGTTCAGCTCTGCGAAGATGAAGATCATGTTCAAGCTGATCATCGACTGTGCGGACAATTTCACGAATCACGTCGCGATCGAGTCGAGGAACGGAAAGATTTACGAGTTGAAGGAGATCCTGGGTCGATATACCACCGACGTGATCGCGACCTCCAGCTTCGGGATCGCCGTCAATTCGATGATGGATTCGGAGAACGACTTCAACACGTTCGCCAGAAAGACGCTGCAAATCTCGTTCGCTCGAGGGATAAAGATGTTCATGGGCGGGACTTTTCCCAGGTTGACGAAGCTGCTCGGACTGAGCGTGTTCGGCGAGCAGACACGTCTCTATTTCAAAAGAGTCATCGCTGAAACTGTTCGACAAAGGAAGGAAAAGGTAGGCAACTCGTAAAATAAGTTTTAGATATCGCTGTCGAGCAACGTTGTAATTCTGTGTCGATGAAACAGGGCATCTATCGTCCGGACATGATCCAACTGATGATGGAGTCGAGGAACTCGAAAGGAGAGGAACTGACGATCGACGAGATGACGAGCCAGGCGTTCGTCTTCTTCCTGGCGGGCTACGACACGTCTTCGACCTTTATGTGCTTCGTGCTTTTCGCGATCGCCGCGAATCCGGATGTGCAGGCCAAGTTGCGAGCGGAGATCGAGGAAGTGGCGCGAAAGGCCAATGGCCAGCCAACTTACGACGCTATCAAAGACATGGCCTACATGGACGCGGTGTTGAACGAAACGAACAGACTATTCCCAGCGGCGCTGTTCCTCGATCGCGTGTGCGTGAAAGAGTTCGAGCTTCCGCCAGCCACGCCGGACTCGAAACCCGTCCTGGTGAAACCCGGAGAGGCCGTGTGGTTCCTGCCGTTGTCGTTTCAAACCGACCCGAAGTACTTTTCAGACCCGATGAAATTTAAGCCCGAACGGTTCCTCAACAACGAAGTTCCGCAGAAAGTTTATATTCCTTTCGGCATGGGACCGAGAATTTGTATCGGGAACAGGTTCGCCCTGATGGAGACCAAGATCATGTTGTATTATCTTCTGTTGCGCTGTGAAATCGAGCCCTGCGCGAAAACTACGTTGCCGATAACGCTCAGCAAGAAGAGCATCATGATAAGCGTAGATAATGGGTTCTGGCTGAACTTCAAGGCTAGGAAGAACATGTTTCCATCGCAACCGAACGGTGTGAACGTTGCAAAAGCTTAAAACTTTTTGTATTATCGTATTATTATAATACATGTTACAAGCTTCTTTTTTAAGAACGGTTTTTCTTTGTAAAGAAGATCAGTGTAAAGAATCGCGAGGAACGTCGGCCGTCATTTTCATCACCTTTCTACAAAATGACCTGTTTGATAAACTTAAATTGTTGCATAAAACATTTCAAGTAGGTGATAAATCGATACACCGCGTTCCACGCCTTCTTTTAAACGTGCAAATCGTTATTTTAATTCTTTGTATTTCCCACGATACCACGTTTTCATCATATTTTTCTACGTAGCAGCGTCCCATTTTTCATTTTATATTTAAGTTGGATCGTAAATTTACGACTTTATATCGGTTTAGTTTTATAACGACTCGAACTTCGCCTTTTCGCCTTTCTTTTATAAACTGCAAAAACGGCGAATAAATTTATCAACTAATTAATAAAATAGGATGCACTCCTGTAACGATGATTAAATGCAAAATTTGTGTTGAAAGTCTTGTACATAATTTTCTTTTTCTGGTATAAAGTAAATAAATGTTAAAATTTGAAATAGGAAAATTAAGTACTAATTTAAATATATACCTAGAACAGTTACTTTACTACGTCCAAGTTTATTAGTTTATATTGGCACAATAATTTCCCATTTAAAAACCGGATGTACATCTTATTATTAAATTATTCATATCGAATTTATTTTGTACTATGCGCAATTTTAAGAAGTGTCTTCGATAGAAAAAAGTGGTGAGTTTTATGCCCGTATAATAAAAAATAAATCTCCCACTGGCTTGCACCAAGATCCATCTTCCTGGAGGCTCGTGCATCAGAAATTTCAAGCATCGAATCTGTTATCGAGGCTCTATAACAACGTCAGAAGTCACATGCTCGTCTCGTTTTTACACTATATATGTTCCAGTCGCTGGCACGACCTTAGTTTACTATCGTTCGTTGGCGGGCGAGCAACAAGATCGCCTCGACTACCGGTCTATGAAAGTAAAAGTAAACGTTCGCGCGAAACAGGATGGAGATGGATCCACTTATGTCGACCTTGATCCTCGCGGCAGTGATTCTCTTCGTTTATCGCTACCTGTGGAAAAGATCCAGCTACTTCGAGGAACTGGGAATCCCTCACGAACGGTCGATCCCGATCCTAGGCAACATGGCGCCGATCGTGTTCTATCGAATCTTCGCCGGGGAACACTTCCATCGGGCATACAACCGTTTCAAACACTCGAAGTACTTTGGATTCCACAACTTTACCACGCCGGTGATAATTGTTCGCGATCCCGATCTAATCTCGTCGATCGCCATCAAGAACTTCGACAACTTCACCGATCATCGTGGATTCGTGGACGGGGATCTGGATCCCTTGATGGGGAAGAACCTGTTCGCCCTTTGCGGGGATCGATGGCGGGAGATGAGGAAGATTTTGAGCCCGACCTTCACCTCCGCCAAGATGAAGACCATGTACAAGCTGATCGCCGAATGCGCCGACAGGTTCACGGAACATATCACGATGGAATCGAAGGGAGAAAAGGTGTACGACATGAAGGACGCTATCGGACGTTACGCCACCGACGTGATCGCCACCACCAACTTCGGGATCGCCGTCGACTCGATGAAGGACCGGGAAAACGAGTTCTTCGTGTTCGCCAAAGAAACTTTGAACTTTTCCCCCAGCAGGACGATAAAGATGCTGATGGGGAGGAACTTCCCCACTCTGTCCAGGCTTTTCAGGATTAGGATATTCAGCAACGCGGCCCATCGCTACTTCACGAGAGTCATCGGCGAGGCTGTCAGAACAAGGAAGGAAAAGGTACACAACTTTTGGTATCTATTTTTTTTTAAGCTGGACGAGTGAAGAACGATGAAAATTAGATCGTATCGTTTGATCTATGCCCGCGAACAGGGAATCCACCGACCGGACATGATCCAACTGATGATGGAGTCGAGTGACTCGAACGGAAACGAACTGACGATCGACGAGATGACGATCCACGCGTTCATCTTCTTCCTGGCTGGGTTCGACACGTCCTCGAGGTTGCTCTGCTTCGTCGTTCACATGCTCGCCCTGAATCCGGACGTGCAGGCTAAACTGCGAGCGGAGATCGATGAAGTGGCGCGAAAGGCCAATGGACAGCCAACTTACGACGCCATCAAAGACATGGCCTACATGGACGCGGTGTTGAACGAAACGAACAGACTGTTCCCAGCGGCAGGGTTCCTGGATCGCGTGTGCGTGAAAGAGTTCGAGCTACCCCCGGCCACCCCGGACTCGAAGCCTTGTACGATAAAACCGGGCGCGGTCGTGTGGTTCCTCCCTTTCTCGATGCATCGCGACCCTGACTATTTCCCCGATCCAGAGAAATTCGATCCCTCACGGTTTATAGGCAAGGAGGCCCCTCCGAACGTTTACATCCCGTTCGGCTTGGGACCGAGGATTTGTATCGGGAACAGATTCGCGTTAATGGAGTCCAAGATCGCGTTGTATTATCTTTTATTGCGCTGCGAGTTGGAACCGTGCGCCAAAACCACGAACCCGATGCGTTTCGACAAGTCGAACTTCTTAATCACTCCCGAAACTGGCTTCTGGTTGAAGATCAAGGCTAGGAAAACTGCCCCCGTGTCGCGTGCGAATGGCGTCGTAACTCAGAAAGCTTTTTAAATGAAATTATCTTCGCGATTATTATCATTTAACAATATTTTAAGTTTGTTAATATTAGAGGTTTCGTCTATAGGCTCGAGACAATGGGAATGGAGGCTAAGATCGACCGACCGAACCACACTCTAGATGAGGTTCTGCGCGAACATCGTTGTAATTATTGCCGACAATAGGTTGAGATTATCTAACTGAACTTTGAGGGTAGCAAGAACGCCGCTGCATCGCCTGCAAACGGTTGTAATGTCGGTGAAACTTACAAGGAACCATTGTACACTTATAAAGCAGCCAAAAATAATCGACACGTATTTTTTTTTAGCTGCGGTAACTCGAGTTTAAGGGGTGAAACCACCCCTTGAAGTTTTGGCTCGAAACGGCTATCTCGAAAACGGAAAGACATACAAAAAAATTGATAATGGGCGAGGTTGATGGTTTCTTATGTACAATAACATGGTGTTAAAAAATTAAAAAAAATACAATTTGTTTATAACTTTATTAAAATGTCATAACTTCTGAACGGATTGAAGGATTTTAATTTTCAAAAATGCGAACGACGCGTATTTTAATCAAGAATACGTAGAAATCGCAAAAATATGCAAAAAGTTGATCCTTGACGCCGCAAAATGAGAAAAACCCCATAAAAATGGTCCAATCTTCAAACAGCCATAATTCCTACAATAGTGAATATATTTCAATGAAACTTTTTTCTGAAGTAGAGCTCATAGGTACCTACAAAAAAGTATTGGCCAACTTTTTTGTAGGGCGTCAAACAAAATTATTAAAAATGAAAAACGAATTTTTAAGAAAAATCGACAGGGTGCCTAAATTTTTCAGCGAAAAAAAAAAATTTCAAATCGTTCTAAAAAAATTATTTTCAGTTGCGGGAGTCAATTTCAATCATTTTTGGTCAATATATATACTCCCGAAATCCTACGCACTTTTGAGAAAAAAATTCGAGAATGTGTGAAATTTTTCAACAAAATTAAAAAATTTCAAACCATTCTGAAAAGATTATTTTCGGTTGCAGGGGTCGATTACAATCATTTTTGGTCATTACACATTCCCCCGAAATCTTGGGCATTTCGGAGAAAAAAATTCAGTACGGGCGGAACTTTAAACGTTAATAATTTCTTAACGAAGCCACCATCAACAAATTGGTATTCTTGTATTTTTCCCGATTTTGTCCTCTAGAAGTAGTGCAAGCCTACAGTGCTTCATTAAAATCAAAGTTAGAACGGCTACTACCATAATGGATGTGCGCGCAAGATGTAAATCATCAAAATCTGCAAAACTGTAGGAGGCAATTTTAAAAAATCGCATACCAATGCATTTGGAATAAAATGCTCGTCATTTTTTGTCATTATGAAAATTTCAATAAAATGAAAAATTAAGTTAATAAATTTTTTTTTGTTATAAACAAATTGTATTTTTTTTTAATTTTTTAACACCATGTTATTGTACATAAGAAACCATCAACCTCGCCCATTATCAATTTTTTTGTATGTCTTTCCGTTTTCGAGATAGCCGTTTCGAGCCAAAACTTCAAGGGGTGGTTTCACCCCTTAAACTCGAGTTACCGCAGCTAAAAAAAAATACGTGTCGATTATTTTTGGCTGCTTTATAAGTGTACAAAGTTTCATCAAAATCGAAGCCGGACCGTTCGCTATGGTTCCTTGTTAGATTGGAACGTCTTTAATTGTTTGGCTGCGGTCTCTGCTTCGAATTGAAAGCGTGCTGATGTACAGTGTCTCGCTTAACCCTGAGTACCTTGACTGCGACTTGTCCCATTGTTTACTCGATGTTTCACGTGTTAGATATTAAAAATTTTTATCTTTCAGACTACAAAAAATCGCTAACCGTGGCGTTGTATCGCGAATAACGAAACACCCAATGTATGCTTTTGTTGTTGAAACGAAGACGTGTTTTGATTCTAACAATGTCTCTGTTAACAATTTCGGTGTCTTATCGAACTGTTGAACCATGATAATTAATCATAACGAATAAATACAAACATACAATAGCTTACTGATACGAAGTTTATTTTTATTCTTAGCTCGCTATCAGTCATTTATGCCGAGTCAACAAAACGATTGCAAGAGTTTCAGAGTCTTGGTTGTAGTAACAAGCGGATAAAAACTACCGGGGATAAAACAAATAAGATGAAAATGGCAGAAGAATTATTTTCTGTCGATTAATAAATACTTAGTAAGTTAGTCTCATTGATTATCTGACGTAATAGGGGCGTACATTGACCGCATAATCCAGGATAACGGAAAATCTGGAGGCATGCTATGACCGCAGGGCAACAGGTGGACTACAAACGTAACGTAACACCGTAGAATATAATTATGTAATTTCTTGCAAGTCATAGTCTTGTGACGCAGTATGGAACAACCAATTACGTAATTTACACTTGGATAGTAGATCTAGTAAACATTCGTTGAAATCTTAAGGCATGAGTAAACAATTTAACCGTGACGTTCACTCAATAATACATTTTAACAAAACGAAGCGACGATTAAGATTATCACGCGCTGTTTCATTTGAATTTCGAATGTGCAGAATGTCCCAAAAAAGCAAGCGTGAAACTGCGTCGGTTTCTCGTCAATATCCCCTGATCGCACAATGAAAATTCATTGAATTTAGTGCACGTGATCCCCAAAAGAAGTATAAGCGCCTGCATATATGCATAAAATTTCTCCCCATCTGGTACAGTTGGACTTGCAAAGATTGGAAACATTTTTAATGCCTCCGATTTTTGAGTTAGTTAAAATGCATTTCCGTAAACAAGAGGTAATAAAAGAAATTCAAGAATTCAGGACCCATCGAATCAATACATTAAGAACGCTAAAGGCCCTCGAAGTAGTCCGGATTCGAATTTTCGCTCGAAAATTTCGAATCTCTTGCGAAACTCAGATTCCAGCACTGACCGCTGAATGGAACGATCTCGGCTTAAGGGGCCATTCTACCTTGTAGGCACGAAAAATACATGTTTCTTTGTCACTTTTTTTGCAGGCTATTAAAGAGCAATTAATTCCGTGTTTTGTAGATACATTTATTATATATTTAGCTATATTTACGAATTTTTGCAACGCATAATATCTATTGATTACCCTGTTTTTGTTGGTCAACAAACTACAGTTTTTACGAACGGCGCCTGACTGAGTATGTGATATCTTGCGAACAAGTTATCCAAAATCCAAAAACCAACGATATTCTTAATGTAGATGAGTGTGGTTATAGCATGAACTAGGATCTTTTCAAAAGAACAAAAAATGGCAAAATGGCAACTATTTTACGAAAAAATACTGAATATTTTCATATATTCGGCTGCCTTTTTGTTAGTAAAAGAAAAAGTATTGCAGATATCGCAATTATCCTAATTCATGCTATACGGAGATTAGTTCAGTTCCGAAAAATGTAGTTTCGAGAAAAACAGCTTTAAAGTTTCACGTTCAGTTGTTATACCTGCGCGCGGTACATTTCAGCAGGCTATAGATTCGTTAGTTTTCAGAATTTCAATTTAATATTTGGTAGATATATTTTCGAGACTACATACTAAAAGAAAATGCAAGCAAAAAAATTCGATTTTTTAAATCCCACAAGGTAGGAAGGCCCCTTAATTTGATAACGTCAACTTAATCTGTATAGTTCCATTCGGCTGGAAATAGAATTTAAAGCTTTGTTATAGAAGCTCGATATGCAGGATAAATACTCGAATGCAAAAAAAGGGGAATGAAACGAAACGAATAATTTTTATTTCTTTTACGTCCTTTTAAAAGATCTATCGTCCCGCGCCTATTCGAGATTATTACTGTAATTACGAGAAAATTTATTTCACTTTATCGCGAGGATTCGTTCGATCGACGAGTTCATTTGTTCGATTTCTTAATTTTCCCAATGTTTGCCAATTGACCAACGACCGTCGAATAACTATAACGTATTTGCGAAACAATTGCTCGGTACAGTTTGGATCATGGGACTTTGATTGTTCATAATTTATCCCAATTTATTTTGGCAGTCGTCCTTGAACGCTTCGCGCGTCGACGTAATTTCCCCCAAACGTTCCATTTACTTTTTCAGTTTTACGGAATCACGGAATTAAGGGAGTCGTTTGGTTCGAAACTTTGAAAATATCCATTTCTTCTTCTTGCGTTTTCTGAAAGTTTCGTCGCTTATGAAAACAGGTCCGCGAAGTATTCGATTGAAATACGAAAATTTAGCATGATTACGGGAATTGAAAAAGTTTGTTCAAAATTTTGGAATAAAAATTTCTTTTTAACTTCCCTAAGAATCATAAGATTTTTAAAGAGCGTTATTACCAAGTAAACATAAAAATGATAATAATTAAAATAGTTACTTTAACTGGCTAGATGAGTAGCAATTGTGGTGTCTCAAGTAAGCTTAAACATCATAGACTATAGCATCACTATAAATAGTATAAATACGTCTCATCAGTCACCCAAGATTATGTTTGACGTTTTACGTCTTGCAACGTCTTACATAATACGCTTGATATCAGACTAACAAGGAACTTCCGTAAAATCATTTTCTCCTCACTAATTAAAAAAATATCGTTTCTTACCAACATTCTTAAGTTTCAAAAGGTAGAAAATATAAGGATGTTCACCACTCTGACGGTTTCCAAACATTTTTCGTTCCCTTGCATTTTATTAAATTCCAAACGTGCAGAATATTATGTTAAAAGAATTCTTTGAAATGTAATAATTAACAGAGTATGACATCAATACGAACATGTTATTTTATCTCGAAAATAATATATTTTCATATTTAATATCGTCGAAATGATATCGCAAGCTTATTAAATATGAAAATTATTTGTTTTATCAATATGGAAATGGTGGAAATACTTCATTATTGAAAATCATTATACAGGACGTAATTGACCAAGCACTTTTAACGATGCTTTATAACAAAACATTCCATCTGCAACGTACACATTTTAAATAAATGTTCTTCTCCACTGCCCAAATGTTCCAATTTGAAACTTGAATTTCAATGTAACTTTTATAATTTTAACGTGCGGAAACGTTATACTCTGTTCTCCTTCGCTTTTTTAATTTCATATGTGAAGTACGCCGATGAAACGTAGCCCTGTACTTCCGTTATCAGCGAGATCTGCATCCGGCCAGCTGAATTCACACTTTTGAACATGCCTTTCCCATCAGAATTACACTCGAGCAGCTTCATCACTTGGTACCGTGA